AATATACTCTTGGCATATGATTCAGCTGTTTTGCTCCTTGGTTGTTTACCTGAATGAACTGAAAGTGTACATCCATGCAAAACCTGCACAGAGATGTTTATAGCAACTTTCTTCATAATTGCCCAAACGTGGAAGACACCAAGATGTCCTTCAGTAGATGAGCTGATACACTGTGATACAGTGGAATATTATTCAGTGTGAAAAGGAAATGAGCACTCACGTTATGAAAATTCACAGAGGAATTGAATGTTTACTAGCAAGTGGAAGAAGCCAACCTGAAATGACAATGTCTGTGAGTTTCTGGAAAAGGCAAAACTATGGAGACAGTAAAAAAAAAAAAAAAAGCTAAGTGGCTGCCAGAGGTTAGGAGGATAGGAGAAATGACTAGGCAATACAGAGAGGATTTTTAGGGCAGTGAAACTTTTCTGTATGATAAAGAGTGGTGGCTACATGTCATCTTACAGTATCCTAATGTAAACTGTGGACTTCAGCTGGTAAGGATGTGCCATTGTAGGTTCAGAGATTGTGATTAATGTACTGCTGTGGTGGGGGGACGTTAACAGTACAGGAAGTTGTACCTGAGGGGGCAAGGCGTTTATGGGAACTCAGTACTTTTCTGCTCAGTTTTGCTATGAACCCAACATTGCTCTTAAAAGTAAAGTTTATTAATTAAAAAAAAATCTGGTACTTACCTCAAAATAATAAGTTGTAGAACGCAAACTGGTAGTTGGGACAAGATTGCCTGTGGCTGTATGGTGACTGGGTCTGAATGATTGGTACATGAGGCTTTAGTAATCATTTTAATATCTGGGAAGGCAGGTCCATCCCTCAACTTTATTCAAAACTGTGATGGGCTTTTAAAATTATTTACTGTGGGAAATGTTAGGCATATGTAAGAGTAGGCTAAATGTTATAAATAATGCTGTATTAAACAGTTTATTATTGGTATGAGAATAGACAAATAGGCCATACTTATAGAATAGAGGCTTCATAATCAGACCCTCATTTATGTGGAAATTTGATATATGACATAGCATTATAAAATTGGGGAGACTGGGGCAAGGGTTTAGAACAAGGGGAAGATCTGTATAGAAAAAGTAGATTCCCGGCTCACAGCTGAATGCCCGTGAACTGTAATAGCTGATCTGTTCATACTGTGGTATTGCAATTAATGAATGAGGTAGTTGCGTGTATTCAGTTCAGTTTAGTTCAGTCACTCAGTCGTGTCCAACTCTTTGCAACCCCATGAATCGCAGCACACCAGGCCTCCTTGTCCATCACCAACTCCCGGAGTTTACCCAAACTCATGTCCATTGAGTCGGTGATGCCATCCAACTATCTCATCCTCTGTCGTCCCCTTCTCCTCCTGCCCCCAGTCCCTCCCAGCATCAGGGTCTTTCCCAATGAGTCAGCTCTTCGCATGAGGTGGCCAAAGTATTGGAGCTTCAGCTTCAGCATCAGTCCTTCCAATGAACACCCAGGACTGATCTCCTTTAGGATGGACTGGTTGGATCTCCTTGCAGTCCAAGGGACTCTCAACAGTCTTCTCCAACACCACAGTTCAATTTTCGGCACTCAGCTTTCTTCACAGTCCAACTCTCACATCCATACATGACCACTGGAAAAACCATAGCCTTGACTAGACAGACCTTTGTTGCATGTGTTAGCAATCTCAAAAACTGAGAGATATGAGGTAATTGTAGTAGAATACTGTGTTACAAGAGCATTAAGGTTTAAAAACCTGCAACATAAAGGTGTAAAATATACATGGTAATAATAACTCCAAATTCCTGATCATTATTACCTCTGAATAGTGTATTTGTAATGTTTTATTTCTTAAGGTTAAAAAGGAATTGAAGCAGATGGGACAATAATATAAAAAATTATTAAGCTAAGTAATAGGAATCCACTATAGAATTCTTTATATTTGTTTCCATGAAATATTTTATAAAGTATTAGTATTATCAAATGAAATTGTCTTATTTAGGTCCTAATCCAAACAAATTTTCAAAAAGACATTTTTGTGGCAGTTGGAGAAATTTCACTAAGATTGAATATAAGATTATATCAAGCAATTGTTAGCTGTGACAGTGACGCTGTTTATATAAGAAAGTACCCATGTTTTTAGAGATGTGTGTGTAGTGTGTTAGATGATGTAATACAGTTTCTGAGACTTACTTTAAAAAAAAAGATTGTTGAAATAAATGGCAAAATGTTGATAATTGGTGATAGGTATGTGGAAGATTGTTGTAATACAATACTCTTTTGAGTTTGTTTGAAAATCTTCATAATTATACATGCAAAAGAAATTGTTCTTTATTAATAACTTGTGCTGTTGGCTACCATATTTGAAATGCTTTGTTACAAAAAATTTTTTAAGTTCTGTTTGTTTTCTGGTTTAAATATACACATACATATATATTTAATATATATATTATATATCATATATAATAAATAACCTATGTCTTATCTAAATATTTACAAAGTAAGTCAGGAATGAAATTTGATCCGCTCTTCCTCCAGGATCTCTACACTGCTTTTAACTATGAGAAAACATGCCAAAATTTGTATTTAGGTTTAATATTTATTTGAAGTTTTTCTGTTCATAGTGACAACATGGTAGTGAATAGCTCTATGTAATTTTCGGTAAGTCAGAAGTAGCTTGGATAATTAGCATGAGGAGGTGTTAAGTATATAAACTGCAGCCTTGACAGAATTGTATTAATTTCTCAGAAATTGATAAGCTATTCCAGAAATAATGCTTTTTGTTTCACATTTTATGAAATAGCACTTAGAGTGTTGATACACACACCCGCATACACACACCTTCAGTGGTTTCATGTGTTTATGTCTTTACTCAAGTTTCTTGGTCATTCCCAGTCACCCACTTACCACTGTTTTGTAGATATCCAGCTTGCCTTCAAGATACTTTAGATAGTTACTTTCTGCAGCTAATGTTCTTATACCTGCCTCTGGCTAATGTTTCAAGATATTTTAATAGTGGTGACAAAATGATGTGAAACTGACGTTGAGAGAGTACAGATTTCTTAAATGACTTCACTTAAAATTAGTATGACTAGTTTTTTTCCTGTTATTTGAACTACCAAATTGTTAGTTAATTCTTATGGTGGTTTGATAATATTGAATATCTTTACAACATTTAAAAGTTCTATAATTGATTTATCTATTTGATTTTTTCAAGTACTTAGACATTTATGCAGACAAGTGTTCCCGTTATTCTGGCTTTAGGGCCATGTGATTCCTTTAAAGTTACACAGCAGGTTAGTGGTAGTCTTAGATCTTATTTTTCCACTGGTTGAGGTAGTTATTGTGCTCTGTAAATGCAATTGATGATTTTGCAAAGATGAGAAGTTCTTCTGCATAAATATTTTTTATAACATTAGATGGCAAAAGACATTTAAAAAAAAGTTGAAACAAACAACAGCAGACTGGGAAAAGTTTTGTAAGATAAAATAGGACTAATATCCAGTACATGTAAAATATCCCAAATTAGAAGAAAAATTCATCAGAAATCACAGGTAAAAGCACCAAAGAGGAAATCCTGGTCACTAATAAATATATGAAGAGATGTTCAACCTCTCTGTTAATAGGGAGCTATAGATGAAAACTCACCAATTCAGTTCTAATGAGATGGATGAAACTGGAGCCCATTATACAGAGCGAAGTAAGCCAGAAAGATAAAGACCATTACAGTATACTAACACATATATATGGAATTTAGAAAGATGGTAACGATAACCCTATATGCAAAACAGAAAAAGAGACTCCGATGTATAGAACAGACTTGTGGACTCTGGGAGAAGGCGAGGGTGGGATATTTCAAGAGAACAGGATCGAAACACGTATATTATCTAGGGTGAAACAGATCACCAGCCCAGGTTGGGTGCATGAGACAAGTGCTCGGGCCTGGTGCACTGGGAAGACCCAGAGGGATCGGGTGGAGAGGGAGGTGGGAGGGGGGACCGGGATGGGGAATACATGTAAATCCATGGCTAATTCATTTCAATGTATGACAAAAACCACTGCAATGATGTAAAGTAATTAGCCTCCAACTAATAAAAATAAATGAAAAAAAAAAAAAGAAAACTCACCATTTTCTATCCACATGATACAGAGAAGGACTTTAAAAAAATGAAAAAGTGGTTTGGTGTAAGAAAACAGAACACCCACATATACTGTTGTTTTTCTTTTTTTGAAGTCAATTTGGGCAAACAGTTGCGCTATTTAGGCTTAAATCGTGTAGTAGGCACATCAGATCAACTTTATATTTAAGATATTGTACGTGAAAGTCGCTCAGTCGTGTCTGACTCTTTACGACTCCATGAACTATGTACAGTCTGTGGAATTTTCCAGGCCAGAATACTGGAGTGGGTAGCCATTCCATTCGCCAGGGTATCTTCCCAACCCAAGGATCAAACCCAGGTCTTCCGTATTGCAGGCGGTTTCTTTACCAGCTGAGCCACAAGGGAAGTGTAGTAAAGGGGTGCTGAAAAATTAATCCCAACTTTAAAAAAGCCTTAACCTAGTAACTGCCATGTACTCTGGCTTTCATTTCTCTTTTCCACCAGGGAAGTCCTCAACCATTTCTTGAATTGTGTTTCAATAAATTGTTTTATCATTAAAACAACTTTCTGGGTGGTTATTTTTATTCCAATTTTGTAGATGTGGAAATTGAGACCAGAAAGTTTAAATAAGTTTATGTAGCCAATAAGTGTAAGAGCCTCAGTTTAGCTCTAAAAGTATGGCTTTAATCACTCTTCGGTTACATAGTTAATAATTGATTTGTGAAACCCAGCATACCTTATACCTTAATTATTAAAATGATTTCATTTCCTAAGTCAGCATTTAAAAATGTAATGCTTAATTTCTTCATTGGAATGTTAACATTATAAACTTCATGCTTTATTTCTTTGTTGGAATGTCAGCCTGATAAAGGTGAACTTTTCATTAATGGAAAGTCTTTTACTTTTTTGCCCCAGAGGATCTGAAGAGGCAAAATGCAGTTCTACAAGCTGCACAAGATGATTTGGGACATCTTCGGACACAGTTGTGGGAAGCCCAAGCAGAGATGGAAAACATCAAGGCCATTGCCACGGTGTCTGAGAATACCAAGCAAGAAGCTATAGATGAAGTGAAGAGACAGTGGAGAGAAGAAGTTGCTTCACTTCAGGCTGTTATGAAAGGTAAAGACAATTTTATTTTATGATTTTCTAAGATAACGGATTCTGATGACTGAGAACATTTGCAGAAGGTCTTAAAATATATCCTGAGTTTCATTTATGGCTTTATGTATTACTGTCTCTAAGATGAAAGGGAAGCCAGTGAAATCATAAAGAGAGTGTATCATCTGTATCTTTAACAAATTTAATGATGGAGAATTATGATGAGAGTGTTACAAATGAAAACTATAGTTCATTATAAGATTTAAAACAGGGCTTCAAAACAGATTCTCTTATAGGAGATAGGCCAGTAATGTCAATGAATGAAGTTGTATGAGCAAAGGAAGCGTGCTGAACTGGAGAGACCTCCCATGCAGAGTAAAGTTACTGTTTATACTTGTTAGTTCCATCACGTCCAGTATTGCTGTATTTTTACATTTTAAAGAAAAATTTGGATTTTTATGTGAAATTTTCACTCAGTCTGTGAGGTAGATTGGCCTATGAGTTAGAACAGGCTTTATGAGCTTCTTGCTGGTGACGTAGATCTAAAGGAAGAGTAGTGGTTTAATCTCTGTCAGCTGTTAGCGCCACCTGGGAAGTCCCATACTTAATTACTTCTTGCATTTCTGAAAATATGATAATGATATAAGCTGCCTCCTGAATCTTTGAGTTTCTGGAATTAGTTTAGTTAATAATATAAATGTCAAACAGTGGTTACTTTTTTCCCTGTCTTTGCAGTTATGTGTCATTGTTGCCCTAGTACTATTTATAAGAAGGCAAGTAAGACTAGCACTGTTTCTGAGTGTTTGGCTATCATCTAGGGATTACTCTGATCCTCATGTTACAACCCACCATAGCAGCTTGCCCAAATAAGAGTTCATTTTCTCACAGGAGAAATTCGTAGGTAGGTAATCTAGGGCTGGGTACAGTGGTTCCTGATTTCATCAGTGTCCTAGGCTCCTTCAGTTCTTCTATTTCTTCATCCTTAGCATGTAGTTTTCAACTTCATTTTACCTTAAGGCTGAAAAAAATGACTGCTCCTCCAGTCCACCTCAGTAAAGCAAAGATTTTCTAGAAATCTTCAGCATATTTCCCTCTTGCCCTCCCTCCCCCACCCCCCAGTTTATAGAGGTTTCTGGTTACACATAACTACCAAGACATGTAGAAATTCTAGATTTTAAATTGGGCCATTGATTTCTGGAACAAATTTGGGGTTTTATTAGAAAGAAAAAAGAGTGGAAATTAATGGACAACCAGCGGTGTTTAGCACGTTTTAGGATTGTCTTGAAGATAGTTATTTTATAAAGACTTTATAGAATTTGTGTCTCACTTTAGAATCTTGGTATATAGTAAAACATTATGTCTCTTTTCTCACACTTTCATATATGTAGTTGTATTGGGACGACATGTTACGTTTGTCTTGGGAGTCATACAGTTTTATCTAAGAACATAGATTTTAGAATTGGTCTTAGGTTCGAATTCTAGCTCTGTTTCTTTCTAGTTATGAGACATTGGCCAGAGTATTTAACCTTTCCTAAGCTTTTTCTCATCTATAAAATAATATGTGGCACAGGTTTATTCTGAAGATGAGAGATGATTTAAAGTCCTTAGGAAAACTTCTATGTGTAGTAAGAACTGGAAATGTTAGTTTAGTGTTTTTAGTGAATTAAAATATTTCCAGAAACTAGGCTTGCTTACGTTCTTTATATAACTACTTTTAAAATTTTAGTGTGCCAGCTCATTTTTTCCAGAATGCTTAGACATGAAATATTTGGTGATGTTTTGTAGAAACAGTTCGTGACTATGAGCACCAGTTCCACCTTAGGCTGGAGCAGGAGCGAACACAGTGGGCACAGTATCGAGAATCTGCAGAGAGGGAAATAGCAGATTTAAGGAGAAGGCTGTCTGAAGGTCAAGAGGAGGAAAATTTAGAAAATGAAATGAAAAAGGTATGGAGGAATGTATTCATTTGTAGAAATATTTGAATCCAAATATGTTTGTGGTAATGCTTTTAACTAATATTATTACGGTAATAGAAATTTTACTGTTTTGTTTTCTGTTAGAGAAATTATTTGGACACAGACCTAAATAGAGTACTAAATAATTTGATGACCTTCCCCCACATTTAGGTATGGCTAACTCTCTCACCTTCTTCAAATCTTTGTCCAGTTGCTTCCACCTCATGAGGCCTGTCCTGACCACCCCATTTGACATTGCAACCTGCCCATCTCCCTCCCCCACCTACCACAACTTGCTCGGATCTTATTCTGATTTTTCTATTGCACTTATTTCCTTATAATGTACACAGAGTTCTCCTATTTGGTATGTTTACTGTCTGCTGCCTTTTCCTTCTTACTAGAATGTGAGCTTCATGAGGGTAGGAGTCTTTGTTCATTGTGTATCCTAAATGCTTAGGGTAGTGTCTCGCTCATAGGTGCTTAGTAAGTATTGCTTGAATGAATGTTGTTGCTTGGTCTCAACTGAAGCTTGAGAACAGGTGTTAAGTTTTCCTTCTTTCTCAATATACTGTGGTTCCAGTGTCATGTATGTACTTCATATTATGCTTGAACATTTTAGATTCTGAAGATAGAGCAACTAAAATAGAAGATGGAACATTTTATCATTGAGAAAATGTAAAAAGCTTTTTGGCCAGTTTGATTATGTAAACTTTTATATTTCAATTAAAAAAATTTTTATTGGTGTATAGTTATTTACAGTGTTAAGTTTCAGGTGTACAGTAGAGTGAATCAGTTATGCATATTCAGATATCCACTTTTTAAATTTAAGATTCTTTTCCCATGTAGGCCATTATAGGAACTTTTGCTTTCTTAATTTATATGCATATGTATATTTGAAATCACATATAAGATAGTAATTAGAATTTGATTTTTAATTTTCAGTTGAATTAACCATAATCCTTGTTCATACAGGGACTACTATTATGTATTTAGAAGTTTATTTAATTTTTTTTATAATGTAAAAATCATATGAGAACTCAACACCTAGAACAAAAGCCTGTACCTTGAGGAAGAGCTAGTTTCATTGTCTTATTTCAGGAGAAGATTGTAATTCAGCTTCTTCATGAGGATCTAACAATGTCTTCATGATCACTAGTCACTTAGTCATCTATCATAGTTAGCCACAGTAGACAGTCTTCAGTTCTCTCAAGGCTTTTGAGATGAATTCATAGTTAATGCTATGATTAGATATTTTATTCTGAGCCACAGTACCATTCACATGATGATAGTTTTCTTTTTCATTTTTCTAATATATTCATAAGAGACATCCCTGGTGGCTCAGTGGTAAACAATCCGCCCGCCAATGCAAGAGATATGGATTTGATCCCTGGGTCAAAAAAATCCCCTGGAGAAGGAAATGGCAACCCACTCCAGTATTCTTGCCTGGGAAATCCCATGGACAGAGGAGCCTAGTGGGCTACAGTCCATGGGGTCGTGAAAGAGTCGGATATGACTTAACAACTAAACAATAACAACAACAGTATATTCATAATCATGATTTCCACAGTCCACTTTTTATCCTTTTAAAATTTTTTTTATTTTTTAAAATAAACATTATTTTTTAGAACAGTTTTTGATTTATAAAAAAAAATGAAACTTAAGAGTTCCCATATCCTTCACTCCCAGTTTCCCCTGTTAACATCTTAATATTAGTATCTTAGATTTGTCACAGTTAATAAATCTGTATTGATTATTTTTAACTAAAAGTCCTTTCTTTGTATTCAGATTTCATTAGTTTTTACCCAAGTCCTTTTTTTCTGTTTCAAAATCACATCCAGGATACCACATTACATTCAGTCATGACTCTTAGGTTTCTCTTGGCTGTGATAGTGTCTTAGATTTGTTTCTAATGACCTTTCTGTCATTTAAAAAAGTCATCTTTAAAAGTTTCTTTTTTTGATATGTGTCGCTTAGAATTGTGAAGTCATCTTTGCATTAATAAATGACTCAATCTGTATTAAATTCTTCGTTGCTTTTCTCCTTTTTTTCCCCTGGTAGTTTTTACCAGCAGATCTCTATAAACATCCCAAATTAGCCTTGACTGAAGATATTTTAAGCTCACATATCTTTTCCTAACTGGACTTAGTTCAAAATAAAATAAATGATGAAATGACTTTGCAGGCACTGGCAAACAAAGTATGTCACTCTTTTCTGAGAGATATCAGTTTTTTTTTAATCTTCACTCACGTTTCTGCATAGGTAATATTTTCCCTATCACAAGCACTTTAGGATAAGCTTGGATTGGTTTAAATTCAGTGAATAAGATTAATTTTAATTTTCACTAGAAGGGAAAAAGTGAACTTTTTGAGTCGGTCTTTGTTTCTGTATAAATATACGTATGTGTATAAAGTGAAAATTAAGTTTCTTACCAATTTATTAGTTTATGGATGTTTGCTTTTAATCTGTGTTTTTGAGAATGGAGGATGGTAAACACCATGGCTTTAGGGGTTATTCTTTGAGTTTGTTTCATTTAGATGTCAAAAGTAAAATGATAATATTCTGTTTAAAAATTTAGGTTGAAGCCCTTTTATAGAAATATAATTTTCTAATATTTTAGGAAATAAATGTTCTATTTTAATGTTAGAAAATTAGTCCTTTCTGTATTTGTAAGAGATTATGGTTTTTAAAATTTCGTAACCAGAATTACAAAAATTAAAGTATTTATTATATGTGTTTATATATATACACATATATATATCTATATTTTCATCTCGCTCAACCAGTTAAAAAGTCACATCTGTGGTTGCTCTCACTTTTGGAGACGACCACATTCTGTCTATGGAATGTATAGTCTGTCTAAATAAAAAAACCTGCTTTCACTTTCCAAAGCAAACAAAAAATTCAAGTTTGTCATAGTGAATACATTTTCCTACTTATTCCTAAATTCTAAATGAAATATTTGATAAAGCTATGATTATGACTTGACATTCAAAGTAATGCAACATTTAAGAGTAAGACATGGTTCAGTTTTGTGAGTGCTCATACAGTGTCTGCTAGCTTATTATTTCTTAGAAAAGTAATAAATTGGTAAGTTGTGGCATTTAATTCTTTTTAACAGGCCCAAGAGGATGCTGAAAAACTTCGGTCTGTTGTGATGCCTATGGAGAAGGAAATTGCAGCTTTGAAAGATAAACTGACAGAGGCTGAAGACAAGATTAAAGAGCTGGAGGCCTCAAAGGTTGTGAAAAGTTGTAATCCATTTGCTTGGAGCCAAAGTTCTACCCTTATGCTTTGAGCAAAATTAGAATACTGAGGGAGTAAAAACTGTAATTTAGACTATGTATTGTCAGAATCTTGCTTTCTTTAAAATGCAAGAAAATGCTTGGAGATGATTTTGTCTTTATGGATATTTAAAATAATGACAATAGTGTTGCTTGTGCTGCTTCATTATGTAGTCAGTGTTTATCTTCTTATCAAAATGAGTATCACTCGTTTTGATGGAAAATAAGTTGTTCAAAGGTGACTTTGTTTCCTGACATCAGCCCTAGAATCGATCTTTTAGAAATTACGTAGCTGTAGTACAGCTGGATTTGTTGGCTATAAAGACCCAATAGAAAAAAAACAAGATTTGCTGTTAGGCAGATCCAAATCTCTGACCATAGGTTATTATTTACAATAAAATGTAGTGAAGGTATAATGTCTGAAAATGAAAAAAAATTAACTCATGGGGAAGGAATTGTCAAACATTTTAATAATTAATTTAAAACGTATGAAAGAAAAATAATTTAGAGGTAGTAATCAAAAGGACTATATAGGAGTGTAGAAAAAAATGTAGGAGTGTAGAAATGGATGTGTATCAGTAATTCTAGTAAGTGTAAGCTGATAATTACCTACTAAAAGAGACTGGATTTTAAATTTATAATGTAATATAAATTTATATTGCTTGTAAGAGACATACCTAAAATAAAACTACAAGGTGATATTGAGAAAAAGAGATATTTAAAGCTATGCCTCGTAAATTCTAATCAAAAGAAAGTTGATACAGCATTTATGAAGTAGGACGAAAGGAAAAAAGAATTAATAAAGAGGGACCTTTTTAAATTTATAATCCATCAATAAGATATGACAGTCATACACCTGAACGCATTTACACAGCTTTGAAATATGTGAACTAAAAAGTGACAATTAAAAGGAGAATTATTCACAATCATAGTAGATGATTTAAATTGTCCTTTAGCATATGATAGTGCAATCAGAAAAAAAATATTAGTAGGGATATAGGAGTTTTGAACAACTTGGTTAGTAATTTAGATGTGATAGACACAGAATCCTGTCCTTAGGAGAAAGACTATTTTATACGGTAGTAGAGCATGGTAGTTAAGAGGATAGTGCATGGAATAAAGTATTGTTATTTTTAGGTACATTATACTTTTCATTGTCACAAAGAAAAAGTCATTTTATTTTGAAGATTTATTATGCAAATCCAAATCTCTGACCATGGGTTATTAATTATTTACAATAAAATATAGTTAAGGTAAAATGTCTGGAAATGAAAAAAATTAACTCATATGGGAAAGGGAACTGTAAAATATTTAGGGTGATTTTATTTTTTTACTCAAGAATCTAAAAGAACAATAGTACAAACAGTATGAATGGAAGGAAGTGATGCAGATAAGAGCAGAAATTAGTGAAGTAGAAAAGCAAAAGGAAAATTGAGAATGTAAATATAATGGAAAAAAAATGGAAAAACAAGAAAATGGAAAAACTTGTCAACCTGATAAGACTAATCAGGAAGAAAAAACAAAAAGACTTAAACCATTAGAAATGAAGCAGGGAAATAACTACAAATCAGTTGAGACTTAAAAATAATAAATACTATGAACAATGTCACAGCAATAAATTTGAAATGAAATAAGATTGATGAGAAATTTTCTAATAAGAAATAATTAGCCAATATTGTCTCAAGGTATAATAGGAAAGCCGATGTAGTTAATAGCTATGAAAGAAAGTGAGTTTATAGTCGGAATCTCCTTTATTCCTGTTTCCTTTCCTCCCAGAGATATTAGTTTTGCAGGCAAGTTTTTTCAAACCTCTTGGAAAAGGAATCCTTATATTTTACAAACTGTGTTAGAGAATAGAAAAAGAGGGAAACCTCTTAACTCGTTTTATGAGACTTATATAACTTCATTACAAACAAACTCACTAAAAAGTATTAACAAAAAAATTGTAGATCTATCTCATTTAAGAATACAGAAACAATTTTTCAGCAGAGTAATTAAAAGAAAAAATGCAAAAAAGACACCACGATCAAAAAGGGATTGTCCTGGGGCTTCCCTGGTAGTCTGGTGGTTAAAATTGTGTTCCTAATCCTGGGGGCATAGGTTTGATCCCTGGTCAGGGAACTAAGATTCCACATGCCACTTGGTGCAGCGTGTGGCCGGGAAAAAAGTGGAGAAGATCTTTCCAGTAATTTAGGATGATATACCACCAGAAAACCTATTATTTTTGTGTACCACATAAAGAGATTATAGGAGAAACGTAATATATTCAACTTAGATTTAGAAAGGCATTTGATAAATTTAAACACCCTGTAACAATAAATACTTTGGCCACCTCATGCCAAGAGTTGACTGATTGGAAAAGACCCTGATGCTGGGAGGGATTGGGGGCAGGAGGAGAAGGGGACGACAGAGGATGAGATGGCTGGATGGCATCACCGACTCAATGGACATGAGTTTGAGTAAACTCCGGGAGTTGGTGACAGACAGGGAGGCCTGCCGTGCTGCGATTCACGGGGTCGCAAAGAGTCAGACATGACTGAGCAACTTAACTGAACTGAATAATTAAAATAAAGGGCTGTTTATCAAACCTTCAGCAAACCTCAAAATCATGGTGAATGTTTAGCAACCTTACTGTTAATGACTGGAGCAATATGAGGAAACTCGTGCTCATTAATTTTGTTCAGACTGCTTCTGTGGTCCTAGATGATACAGTAAGACACAGTAAAGAAATGAAGCATAGCAACTGGAAAGAAAGCGGTGAAACTGATTTTTTTTAAATGGGAAAGCAGTAACATATTGGACATACTGAATTTCCTTTACCCTCAACTGAATTACCACCTCTCCAGGTGATAGGGAAAATGCCTGATGACAAATCAGCCCTTTGTCATGCTTGATTAGTGCATTTCTGATTGGCTGACAGCCTTCAGCGTCAGCTTAAATAATCATTTTGGTCCGTGACCTAATGGTCTAGGAGTGAAGATTGCTGAAAACAGATCAGCCAGCTATTTCAAGTTGGAGAAATGGGAAGATAAAAGGCATAAATATGACCTTGAAAGTGGAATGAGACATAACCATTTGAAACAGGTGAAAGTTACATAGCCAAAATTTAGGATGGACAATTTGTAAGGGAAGGTAGAGCAAGTGATTCTTACATGGGGCAAGATTACAATTTATTTTGGATATTGATATTGTTTCAGACATTAGACTATATTGTTAATACTTGAATATTATAGTTAATTATTTAATAGAAATAAGACACTTAAAAAATGATGTGATTTTTAAAAGTACTCTGCACTTGCCTTCAAGTTTCTGTTCATTATGGTATGAGTTTATTTTTTCTGTCATGACTTCCCCTTTTTTTTTTTCATGAACTTATGCCTATGAAAATGTCTCCTTTTTTGTAAATTTAAGGCATTTGGAATTATCTCGCCAGAAATCAAAGTAAAGCAAACTTACAAGAGTATGACACCATGTTTATCTTTAGGAAATACACTGATTAAAAACAACAAAAATAAAAAATAAAACCTCAGTAACCTGGGTTCACTGAGTATGTGATAAAATGAGCACATTTGTGTGTTGCTCAGGGAGTAGAGTTTGGAACCACCTTTTTAAAAGCTAGGTACAAAGATGTTATGTGTAATCTCAATTGTATATTTACTTTGGTGATGATTATGGATAATGCTTACTATTAATTATTGTCAATTATGTTATTTTCCCGGACTTCCCTGGTAGCTCAGTTGGTGAAGAATCCTGCAGTGCAGGAGACCCCGGTTCAATTCCTGGGTCAGGAAGATCTGGAGAAAGGATAGGTTACTCACTCCAATATTCTTGGGCTTCCCTGGTGGCTCAACTGGTAAAGAATCCTCCTGCAATGTGGGACACCTGGGTTCGACCCCTGGATTGGGAAGATCCCCTGGAGAAGGGAATAGCTATCCACTCCTGTGTTCTGGCCTGGAGAACTCCATGGACTGTGTAGTCCATGGGGTCGCAAACAGTCAGATACTACTGAGCTGGTAAAATATTATTTTCCTAGTTTTCTATAGTAAGTATGTGTTTGTTTTGTAAACTGGGTGGTAAATTTAAATTTATGTAAATATAAATGTAATTTTCTTTCAAGACAACCCCAGAATATTATGCCTAAGGTAGAAACTGTTGGAAGTTTTAGTTTAATAGAATTGCATCTTTTTCAGGTGAAAGAGCTGAATCATTATCTGGAAGCTGAGAAATCTTGTAGGACTGATCTAGAGATGTACGTAGCTGTTTTGAATACTCAGAAATCCGTTTTACAGGAAGATGCTGAGAAACTTCGGAAAGAATTGCATGAAGGTAAATACACACACACACACACACACTTTATATGTTTAATCTCAGTCTCTAAGAGAACTATGTAAATAAAATTGGTATTAATAACAATAACAAATTCCAAAATGCCAGTCCGACACGTTAGTTCACAGTTGGTTTGAAAAGGTATTTGGATTGTTGGTGGCTTCTTGTTTCTCCAGGACCCCAGTAAGAACTCACAGGTCATAAGCTCTGGGCAGACAGGGAATAGGGAATTTCTGCTTAAACTGCTTTGCCCCAGACCTATTTTGACGGAAATGAATTGGCAAAAGTGAAAATGGGACAGAGAGGGCAGGTGGTATATTCTGGTGTTCTTAACTAACACCCCTGTTTATAAGAGATAATTTTTATTTTGCTAACCTAGTAGCAGAGTGATGCAGAAATTGACTCTGTTTTTCAGGGTAGGAGAAATAGACTTATCCTTTCCCATTAAGATATACATTTGTTTTAAATTCTTCTAATGAATCTTATATACCTGAGATTCTAAAACTTTTTGTGTCACAGACTCCTTTGGCAGTCTGGTGAAGCCATCTCAAAATCATGTTTTTAATACATAAAATACATAGAATTATACAAGAAATTAATTATATTATAAAACAGGAAAATATAAATAATTGTAAACTTATGGTATAGTAATAAATGTACTGTTTCATCAATACATTAAATAACAAGGTCTAGTACCAGGTCTAATAACTACTGTTGGTGAACAATTGATGGGTATTGTTATACTTACTGTGGTTTGTTGCCTATATTTGATAATTGAAGGAAATGCTAAATTTCAGTTAGAGGTTAGTGAAAATAAAGATCTAAATTTTTATCTAAATGTAAATGGAATTCTTGAAATTTTATACTTGTTGTAGCTTATACTAGTAACATGTTTTAATGTGAAAATTTAGGACTGTGGTCATGGGAAATATAGTTCTTTCACAAAAAATTCATGGAAATTGTGTTTTTTATCCCAAAATAGCGGGGATAGTGAAATTATATAAACTTACAGAATTATTTTATAAAATGTTATTAAACTAATCCAAAATTTGAGTCTTTGGCTTTCAGAAAATGCTTTTCAAAAGTGCTACTGCAGTAAAAAAGACACCCAAACTCTGAAAGAGTGTCCAAAAGAAATAGGAATTTCTGTTTAACCTATATGTCCCAACCCCTTCCAGCAATAGTGCAAGACTACCAAACCTCCCTAATATGCCTGGGAAAGTGTCTGAGAAGTTTCACTAAAATGAGTAAAGGGATAGAGTAATTTCTACTGAAACAGTCATACCGAAAAACAGTATTTACATGAAAAGAAGATAGTTAAAAATTAAGCAGCAATTTTGTGTCTGGCTTTTCCGAAGGGTTTTAAATTTTACCTTCTATAGAGTTAAGTTTTACAGCAGTGTGGAGGGTAGGATAGAGAGGTCCAGACAAGTGGCAGGAAGAGTAACGGAGGGACCCCTGTTGTAGTTGTCTGTGTCCTAAATCTAAGGCAGAAGGCAGACGATGGCTGTCATATCGAACAGGAGGTAGCCTTATTAGAGGCGTCCGTCACAGTTGAATGTGTTGGGTGAGGAGAAGTCAGAAGTATGAGTCGTCTTTCAGGTTTCTGACTTGGATGACTAGGTGGATGGGCTGATAGATGATACCATCTCCTCCTTTTTCTGAAGATGGCTGAGCTGATGAATGTTGATAACAGAAGCATTTACAAAGATTCTTTGACTTATCCTGAGAGGTCAAACTAAATGGGCTCAAGAAGGATTCCTGGATAACAAGTTTATTCAGAATGTATTAAATTAGGAGTGGTGACTGTGCATTTGGCTGTAAGAGCAATGTTTCCCAAAATGTATTCCCTAGAACATGTTATGTGAGTGGCATTGTGGAAAGGACTTTTTGGTAAAATAAATTTGGGACATATTGTGTTATGTTTTACCTTATAAGGGAACATAGATATACTTAAGACCTTGAGTTCAAAGTCCTGCAATAAAGAAATTTTCATTAAAGAAAAAGCTTTTAACCTAAGTTTCTGAAACTTAATGAGTTCAGAAATCTTTTTTTTCACATGTTCCTCTTCCTAGGAACATACTCTGAGAGACTCTGCTTAGAGGGGTGGTGTGGGACAGCTGCCTTGATCTATGGCAATTTGCCCTGGGTTCTTGTCAGAGACAGAATCCTAGACTGGAAGACATTTGGCCAGACATGGCTTGGTAGGCCTATGTTAAAGAAATTGCCTACCATTAAAATTCAGTGTTTTTAATTGGGGGATTCCTAAACAGTTTGCCACCTCTTGGAGCAAGAGCGACAACAACACAACCAGTTGAAACACACGTGGCAGAAGGCCAATGACCAATTCCTGGAGTCTCAACGTTTGCTGATGAGGGACATGCAGCGAATGGAAATTGTGCTAACTTCTGAACAGCTCCGACAAGTTGAAGAACTGAAGAAGAAAGATCAGGTGAATAGTGGTTTTGTAAGATTTGTTTGCTTGGTCAATAAACCAGCCCACCCCGACGTGTGATCGTATATTACTTTATGTATAATACATATTGACTTAAGCCTGAAACAAGGTTGATGTATGCCGTTTCAGAAAACATTATAGTTGTATTTGAGGGATTTTGTTTTTCAACTTTAGAAATGGCCTCGTCTGGGTGGGTGGGAAGGAATGATTTAGAAATGACCTTCTTTAGTCTGCCGGTGCAGCAGTGCACATTTCTGAGAATATCTTTCTCTACAGTTCTGTCTGCGCCTCAGACAGAAGTCTGAGAAGTCTAAATCCTCAACTTGAGGATTTAGGTTCTAAAGTACAGATCTCATTGTGTTAATACAGGCCATGTCTTCCACTCCAGTACTCTTGCCTGGAAAATCCCATGGACGGAGGAGCCTGGTAGGCCACAGTCCCTGGGTTCTCTGAGAGTCGGACACGACTGAGTGACTTCACGTTCACTTTTCACTTTCATTCATGCATTGGAGAAGGAAATGGCAACCCACTCCAGTGTTCTTGCCTGGAGAATCCTGGAGACAGAGGAGCCTGGTGGGCTGCCATCTATGGGGTCGCACAGAGTTGGACACGACTGAAGTGACTTTGCAGCAGCAGCAGCAGACCATGTCTTTTGTGATATTGCTCTAAAAGTCTTATTAGAAGGTAATGGGTGGAGATGGAGAGGCTGAGTGGTGTGAAAAGACAGGTGTCTAGAGTGCTACATACTCAGCATCCTGTTTTCTCATCTTAAAAAATTATTTAAATTACATGAGTAATACATAAATACATTCTCATGTTAAAATACTTTGTTTTAAATACAAAGTGAAAAAATAAAGTGATAAAATTAAACTCTCCCTTGATATCTCACACACTTCCCTTCCCAGAAATAGCCACTTTTTTTTTTCTTTTTCTTTTTTTTATTTTTTATTTTTTATTTTTTTCACAGCCATAGTGTATCTTTTTTTTTTTTTTTTTAACATGTATTCCCCATCCCGGTCTCCCCTCCCACCTCCCTCTCCACCCAATCCCTCTGGGTCTTCCCAGTGCACCAGGCCCAAGCACTTGTCTCATGCACCCAACCTGGGCTGGTGAACTGTTTCACCCTAGATAATATACGTGTTTCGATGCTGTTCTCTTGAAACATCCCACCCTCACCTTCTCCCACAGAGTCCACAAGTCTGTTCTATACATCGGAGTCTCTTTTTCTGTTTTGCACATAGGGTTATCGTTACCATCTTTCTAAATTCCATAGAAATAGCCACTTTTAAAATCAGGAATAATCCATTTGGAAGGTAGTATTCAAGACCATTTCTTTGTGTTTATAAGTGTATGTTTAGGTTTGTTTGTTTTTTCCCCATTCAGCTGGAATCATGGTGTAAGTATTTATTCTGTAGCTTATTTTTCTCATAAGTATCATCTTAGATATATTTTTCAGAGGTCTATCTCATCCTTGTTAACTGGTACCAAGGATGTATTGTAATTGATTTAATCCTTCTCTTTGTAGTGGGCATCATTTCTTTCTTTTCTTTGAAATTGTTTTACAGCTAATATACTATGTTGTATATATGTTGTATATACAAATACTTCCTTAGGATAGCTTTCTTAGGAAAACACTTTCTTAGGATAGCTATTCAGAAGTTTTCTAGGTATTGTAAGAAATATTTCAAGTTACCTTGTATAGTTTAGGTTAGATTTTGTTTTTCAGAAGTTTCTTTTTACATTTCTTTTCTATCTTGTCTGGCTCATTCACCTTGTGTGTAGACACAGTCAACTTGAGGATTTAGATTCTAAAGTACAGATCTAATCATGCTCTTTCTGCTTCCCATTCAGTTCAGTTCAGTTCAGTCATTCAGTTGTGTCCGACTCTTTGATACCCCATGAATTGCAGCACACCAGGCCTCCCTGTCCATCACCAACTCCCGGAGTTTACTCAAACTCATGTCCATCGAGTTGGTGGTGCTTCCCGTTAGAACAGTCTAAACTCCAGAACTGGTCATTTAAGGCCTGCGTGTCAGCATTGTGCCAAGGCTTTGTATGTAAACTTTTATCTTGTGTGGTTTTCAAAACAGATACACAGAAGAAAACTTTCTACATGAGACAGGGACTAATGGCATATCTGAGGGTTGACCAGTCTCTGGTTCTAGAGTCTAAGCACTTAATCATCATCCCTTTCTCCCTGTACCTTGCTACTCATATGCCTGCTCTTCCATGCCTCTGCCCCTTTTATGTAGTTTTTTGCCTGAGACCCTTGCTTGTCTCAAAATTGGCAGACTCATTTTACCAATTCTTTAAGATCCAGCTAAAGTGTTACCTTCTTTGGGCCCCCTTTCTGGCTGCCTTAGATGAAATCTTTATTTTGTTCTTCTGTAGAACCTTGTACATACTTGAATAGTAGTCTAATTGTGTGTTTGTCCTTCACCACTAGAGTGTTTGTTGCGGGGGGGTGGGCATTGAGGGTATTTTTCATCTTTATTTAATGCATTATTGTATCAGCTTTAATAATTCATCTGTATTTCATATTTATTTGTACATGTTTCAAATGGATGTGTAATGCCATAACTTTTTCCCATTTGTTTTCCATAATAACCTGAAGGAACATTCTGTGTTAATTTTCTTTCTTGGATCACTTGAAGAAGAGGAGGTGATTTGCTTTCTTTTGTTTGGCTTTTCACATAGTGTACTTTTATATTTGTTTTGAGTGGTTAAAGAACCATTCAGTATACATTACCTGAGTAATATATATTTTTTATTCCTAACTTTTAGGAGGAAGATGAACAGCAAAGACTTAGTAAGAGAAAGGATCACAAAAAAACAGATGTTGAGGAGGAAGTAAAAATACCAGTAGTGTGTGCTTTAACTCATGAAGACTCTTCAGCTCAGTTATCAAATGAGGAGGTACAGTGACTCTGTAATTAAAATCATTCTATACGCAATATTTCCATTTTTAGCTTCCCATATATCAGTCAGTTACATCGTTCATATGGGAAGTGCGTATCTAGGTGAAAATTAGATAAAATGACTTTTATATTCAATTATTTTTACAGTATTATGCATGTGTGTGTGTGTTAGTATTATAGGTAGTTCTGTTTGAAACGTGCAGGTTCTCTCATGGTCTGTGAAACAGTTAGATGTTCTTTTTTCTAGTGGTTCCAAAATTAAAACATTAGAAGAAAATTTAAATAATATCTGCAAAATCTTTTCTGATGTGAATAAATATTTCTGATACTTTGAGCTTTTGTTTAAAGGGAAAGAAATTATCTAAAGTATTGAAACACTTAATTCTTTATGGCATATATTTGAGTGTTAACAAGTATTAGGTATTAAGCCCTGAGAACAGTAGCTGGGTTTGGAACACTATGATGGGGTAGGGTAGGACATTTTCGGTGTTAGGAATGAGTCCAGTAGAGAGACCTGGAGGTGGAAAGTGTAAGGCGGTGTTCTATGGCCTCATCACCTCTCACCCACATGTGGCAAGTGCCTCCTCATTACGTTTCCTGTTTTGATCCTGTCCCACTCCACTGTACCCTCAGCATTACTATTAACTATTACTATTTTGCTTAAGTGCAGCTGTAGTCAGGCTACTCCCCTACTCAGAACTACCATCAGTCACATTACTTACATAAGTAAGTACAAGGTCCTTACTCAGATAGTCAAGACTTCATAATATGCACTCTGTTTTAACCACATTGGTTATCTTGTTGTGCTGTACTCTCTGCCTTACATGTTGGTTCCTTCACCTGGAATGTTTACCTCCCTCTGCCTTTCTGAGTTCTAGAATCCTTCTATTCATCCTTCAGGACTCCAGCTAATACCTCCTTTCAGGAAAGGAAATGCTTCTGTTAATTGACTTTAGGGTAAAAAACTAAGGTCCCTAGCTTGCCATATAAGAGCCTTATTTACCATGCTCTCCACTTCATCACAGCAGAGCTTTCTACTAGCTGTCTATGCTCATGTGCATTGTCTGTACTGTCTAGAGTTTCATACTCACTCCCCCACCTCCTTTCCCTGCCTGGTGAACCAGTTTCAGTTAAATTGGATATGGATCTTGTCTCACTTTCAGAGGTGTCATGTTTGTGTTTAGTTTGCAGATTTATGCTGAACCACGTATAGTCTACTTCCTGGTGGCTCATATTTCCATGTTTATGGATTATTTGACATTGAAAAAATGCTTTAAAAATACCCTAGTGGACACTGAAAAGTATTATGTAATTGTTTTTGTCCATTCTCTGTGTTGGCTCATACACTGGGAACCTTGGCCTGATTTTGCTTTGTGCTTTTTTAAATAGTTAGACTTCCAAGAGAGTGTCTCAGTTTTTGGGTACTGCCAAATATTATGTGGTTTCTGCATCATGCAGTTCTGTGTCCAGGAATGTTTGGGAAAGTTTCAGACTTTTAAAAATTTTAGCAGGAAAACAGGAAGGGGAAATTTGTTGTGATTTACAGTGAAGCACTTAAATTTTTTGATTCCGTCTTAACAGATTTATACTAAATGTTGTTTATAACATTATTTTCTGACATTGAAATCTCTTATAGACTTTCAGATCTGATGTTTTGCAGTTTGAATGTTGAATGTATACTTGTTTTGTATTGAGAGTCAGTGACAGATTACCTTAGCCTGTTGATTTAAAGTTAATATGGACTGCTTTGGAGACTTAAATAATAATATATTGCTAAAGACACTTAGAATGCGTAGGACCCATATCTTCTTTGATCTAATGCTTAAAATGTGCTTTTATCACTACAAAAGTAATATATACTCATTATGGACAATTTGGCAAGTAGAGAGTCACACCTTATAAAAATAACTGATAATTCTACTACTCAGAGATACCACCGCTAACATTTTGGAATGTACCTCTCCTTTCTCTCTTTTTCCATTTCCAAAGGTAACATATGTGTTTCTGTTTGTCCCTTTTAAACATAATACAGATTGTAACTACATAATGTTTTATGTACATTTCCCACTTAAATCTATTTATAAAGGTTTTGGTACATCAGTAATTGTTTTCCTTGAAAATGTTATTTAATTACTAACAGTATTTCAGCATGTAAGTATACTGTAATTCCTTAATCTCCTACAGATCAGTTTGTGCCCAGGTTTTAATTTATAAAGGTAACTGAGGGACAACATGGAGAGATAAATGCCACTGAACGAAAATTTTAACGTTACAGCTGCCTAGACATGAGCGTCGTGGCACACCATGCAGAGCCACATGATGGAAGCCCCAGCAGAGCTGGTCATGGAGCAAGAGCAGTAGCAGGGGGAAAGCATGGGCCACAGCCATTGCTGGGATTTCCGAGGGAAAAGCAGGATAGATGGCATAGGACTGGCTAGTTGGAATAACTCCAGTGGGCTTTGGGGCAGAGAATCTGTCTTCAGTATTTTGGTACCTAGCCCTGGGTTGATTTAGGGCAGGGGAAATACTGGCTTGGTGGATAAGAGTTAGATAAAGGAGTTGGTTAGGGGTGTTGACTTGGGATTGGTTGATTTGGGTGTGAAAGACATAGTGATAAGCAAGTTGTTTATTATTTCTGGGAGTTAGCTAAATTGGAAAAGGCAGTCACTCCTCAGCCAGCAAGGCCTTCAAAAGGTCAAAAACATCATAAAATATAGAAAATAAACACAAGTTGTTTCATTTTTTGCTAGTAAAAAAATATTTCACTATGAGTAATGCTATTATATATAATTTCTTATTGTATAAAAATCATGGGTTTATCTGATTACTTCCTTAATGTAAGTTCTTGGGAAAAGAACTGCTGAGTTTAAGAGCATAAACAAACATATTGTTGAATCATCTTTCAGAAACACTGTAACAGTTTACACTCCCCTACAAGTCCATATTCCTTATAAGTAAGTACTGCTCTGAGCACCCTGGTCTGGTGTTTCTTAAAAGGCCCTCATAGCTTTTTGCCCAATCCCTTTCACTCTTCAGAGTCACAGTAGCATTGTGTATGATAATGTTAGATGTCATGTCTTCTATAAGCTGGCAGAATGCTTTCTCATCCCAGTTTCTATGAGGCTGCTTATCTGGGACCTTTGCCATAGCTCGTTCAGTATATGTTAGATTTGTGTTCCTTGGCCATCTGAATTTCACAGATTAAAAAACCTTAAAAAAAAAAAAAAACTTTAGAAAGAAAGAACTGAGGAATTAATATAAAAGTTGTCAACTTTGTATTATGCCAGGTAAGGCATTTTTAAAACATTAAAAGAAATCTGTATTTTAGTTTTTCATAGTTCATAAAAGGAAAGACATTAACAGCAAAAGGTAGAAAGGATATTATCTGAAAAGCCAGTTATTTAAATTGAATAAGTTTCATTTTTAGAAAAACTTGCAACATTTTCCTTGTTTTCTAATTTTCCTACTAATTGTGCTAGAATGGTAGTGCTGTGCTTTTTGACTTTGGGAGTGTGCTGCACCACATAAAATGCAGAGTTCCAAAGAATAGCACGGAGATAAGAAAGCCTTCCTCAGCGATCAATGCAAAGACATAGAGGAAAACAATAGAATGGGAAAGACTAGAGATCTCTTCAAGAAAATTAGAGATACCAAGGGAATATTTCATGCAAAGATGGGCTCAATAATGGACAGAAATGGTAGGGACATAATAGAAGCAGAAGATATTAAGGAGAGGTAGCAAGAATATACCAAGAATTGTACAAAATAGATCTTCATGACCGAGATAATCATGATGGTGTGATCACTTACCTAGAGCCAGATGTCCTGGAATGTGCAGTCAAGTGGGCCTTAGGAAGCATCACTACGAACAAAGCTAGTGGAGGTGATGGAATTCCAGTTGAGCTATTTCAAATCTGAAAGGTGATGCTGTGAAAGTGCTCAATATGCCAGCAAATCTGGAAACTCAGCAGCAGCCACAGGACTGGAAAAGGTCAGTTTTCATTCCAATTCCAAAGAAAGGCAATGCCAAAGAATGCTCAAACTACCGCACAATTGTAGTCATCTCACACGCTAGTAAAGTAATGCTTAAAATTCAAGCCAGGCTTCAGCAGTACATGAACTGTGAACTTCCAGATGTTCAAGCTGGTCTTAGAAAAGGCAGAGCAACCAGAGATCAAATTGCCAACATTCGTTGGATCATCGAAAAAGCAAGAGAGTTCCCAAAAAACATCTATATCTGCTTTATTGACTATGCCAAAGCCTTTGACTGTGTGGATCATAATAAACTGTGGAAAACTCTTCAAGAGATGGGAATACCAGACCACCTGACCTGCCTCTTGAAAAACCTGTATGCAGGTCAAGAAGCAACTGAACTGAACATCAGCTAGATGTTAGAACTGAACATCGAGTTAGAACTGAACATCGAACAACAGACTGGTTCCAAATCAGGAAAGGAGTAAGTCAGGGCTGTATATTGTCACCCTGCTTATTTAACTTATATGCAGAGTACATCATGAGAAATGCTGGGCTGGAGGAAGCACAAGTTGGAATCAAGATTGCCAGGAAAAATATCAATAACCTCAGATATGCGGGTGACACCACCCTCATGGCAGAAAGTGAAGAAGAACTAAAGAGCCTCTTGATGAAAGTGAAAAGAGGAGAGTGAAAAAGTTGGCTTAAAGCTCAACATTCAGAAAACAAAGATCATGGCATCTGGTCCCATCACTTCATGGCAAATAGATGGGGAAACAGTGGCTGACTTAATTTTTTTGTGCTCCAAAATCACTGCAGATGGTGATTGCAGCCATGAAATTAAAAGACACTTACTCCTTAGAAGGAAAGTTATGACCAACCTAGATAGCGTATTAAAAAGCAGAGACATTACTTTGTCAACAAAGGTCCATCTAGTCAAGGCTATGGTTTTTCCAGTGGTCATGCATGGATATGAGAGTAGGACTATAAAGAAAGCTGAGCTCCGAAGACTTGATACTTTTGAACTGTGGTGTTGGAGAAGACTCTTGAGAGTCCTATAGACTGCAAGGAGATCCAACCAGTCCATCCTAAAGGAGATCAGTCCTGGGTTTTCATTGGAAGGACTGATGTGGAAGCTGAAAACTCCAATACTTTGGCCACCTGATGCAAAGAGCTGATTTATTTGAAAAGACCCTGATGCTAGGAAAGATTGAGGGCAGTAGGAGAGGGGGACGACAGAGGACGAGATGGTTGGATGGCATCACCGACTCAATGGACATGGGTTTGGGTGAACTCTGGGAGTTGGTGATGGACGGGGAGGTCTGGTGTGCTGCAGTTCATGGGGTCGCAAAGAGTCGGACACAACTGAGCGACTGAAATGAACTGCACCACATTAAAAAAATTGAAATGGAATTCACATAAAAATAAACCATTTAAAATGTGCAATTCTGTGACCTTTAGTATATTCACAGTGTAGTGCAGCCATCACCTGTCTCATTTTAGAACATTTTCATTGTCTCCAGAAGAGAGCCCCATATATCATTAAGGACTCACTCCCTACTTTATTTTCTCTTTAGCCTCTGGCAGCCACTAATTTGTTTTTGGTCTCTGGATTTACCTATTCTGGATGTTTCACTTGGATGGAATCACACAGTGTGTGACCGTTTGTGTCTGGCTTCTTTCACTTGATGGACGCCTTTTTTAATGTGCTGATTACACCTTGTTTGAAATTTGGTTTCCAGCGTACAACATTCTCCTCATTTCCTTTCTATTCTGGCTACTCCTTCCTTTGTCCATCTCCCAAATAGACAAAAGTTTTCTTTTGGTTTTCTTCTCATCCTGCAGACTCATCCAAGGTGTTCTGATTTGCTGTCATAATTATTACTATATGGTGGTTACGCCCAAATTTCTATCTAAAGATTTCTTTGTCCCTCTGCTGGGTGGAAATCTCCACTAGGATATACAGCAGGACCCCATGTTCAGTATACCCAACACTGAATTTCAGGAGACCTTCCTGATTTCCTGTGTCTGGCTGAATTCTTCTCGTTGAGCTTCCAGAGCATTCAGTACGTAGCTGAAGCCTGTCATCATTTTATCAAGTATGATATTCTAATAGCCTGTTTCCTTGGTTCACTTCTTTATTTTCTTGATGAAACTGTAAGCATCTTGGGGTCAGAGATTGCTCACAGTTGTATCCTGAGTGCTTGGTTCAGTGCCCAGCATATAGAAGACCATCAGTAAATGTATGCTCAGTGAATATACAGAGGCAGCATACTAAAGACTGTCATGTGTAACATGTGGCAAAATACTTTATAAAATGTGGTAGTCTTTCTCTTTGAAAATAACAGGAATTGTCTAACTTGGCAATATATTTTCCCATTTCAGGAACATTTAGATAGCACCCATGGTTCAGTCCATTCTCTGGATGCAGACTTACTGTTGCCATCTGGGGATCCTTTCAGTAAACCAGACAATGATGTGTTTAAAGATGGACTCAGGAGAGCACAGTCTACAGATAGCCTGGGAACTTCAGGCTCGCTGCAATCCAAAGCTTTAGGCTATAACTACAAAGCAAAATCTGCTGGGAACCTGGACGAATCAGATTTCGGACCGTTGGTAGGAGCAGATTCGGTAACTGAGAACTTTGACACCGCCTCCCTTGGGTCACTGCAAATGCCAAGTGGGTTTATGTTAACCAAAGATCAGGAGAGAGCAATCAAGGCGATGACACCGGAACAAGAGGAGACGGCATCCCTCCTGTCGAGTGTCACACAGGGCATGGAAAGTGCTTATGTGTCCCCCAGTGGCTACCGCCTAGTCAGTGAGACAGAATGGAATCTCTTGCAGAAAGAGGTGAGCTCTCCTCCTGGCTTTGCCTCTTGCTTGCTCTGAGGGATCCTGGATAGCTCTGGATTTATTGTCCATTCAAGAGATAGCCCCTGGAGCTAGTGCTCACACTTGTTGCCCAAAAATGGGTGTTAATCCATGTTGTCTGACCCTTACCTTTTCTGCTTTGGCTGTTCCAGGTGGTTATGACAGAGAAGGGAACTTACTAGCTGGTTGTGTTGAGTGTAAACATCACCTGACGTCACACATCTTCAGTTGGAGTGATCTGCCTGAATAGCATAGCTAAATTTGTGTAGCTGAATTTGTTTTGCTTTGCAGTTTTGCATAATCTCAGTGTATTCTAAGATTCATACTTTGATCTTTCTTTGAGGTCTCAAGTACAGATGCTTTTCAGTAGTTGATGCTGAGAGTGAGTTTAAGGTGGGCTGGAAAATATGGGAGAGAAGAGTAGGCAACCTTTAATGAGGTTAATTTTCCTGCAAATAGTATTTGCAAACTAAGAAGTAAGATTAGGAGATAAAAGCGTAAATATGTAGTTGCATAGTGCTTTACAGATTACAAAGCCCTTTCACATACCTCTTCTCTTTGACCTTCTTGATGATAATGAGACAATCAGGGTATGATTTTCTCCAACTTTAGAGATAAGGAAACTGGCTCAGAAAGGTCAAGTGAGTTGCTCAAATTTCCCCTTTGACTTAGAGGCAAAACCTAGATTGGGATTCACGTTTTATGACTTCTAGTGCTTTCTTTTACTCAGGGCCACTTTTTTTTTTTTTTAAAGAAACTTGGTTAGCAAGTGGAACAGCTTATTTAGGCTGAAAGAAACTATTCCCCTTAGGCTTATGCAAAACATGTGAAAAGGTGCTACTTAATTGTTTCATACCTGCTTTGTGCTTGGAGCTGGTGAAATGGTTAATTGGCACTCCGAGCTCCTGTCTTCTGTTGTTGGCTAGTATTGATTTAAATTGTGTGCCACAGTATAGTACCTTTTACTTTCCTTGTGTTTTCCTCAAATGTGGTAGTTTGGGGTCCCGAGCCTCTTGGTGATAAAGTTGTGTCCCTTGTTTTCCTATCATACTTGTATGGGACTTAGGATTTTTTAGAATTCAACTCTGTATTATAACTTCTTGCCATAAGTCTCTGAATAAATTGTTTACTCTGTTTTCTACTTCGAGTAGCATAGGTAAGACTACAAGTATTCCTCATGTATATTTTGTGGGCTTATGTTGTTCTTGCTGATAAGAGATTATTTTGGTGTCCTTCAGATACACAATGCTGGAAATAAACTTGGTAGACGCTGTGATATGTGTTCCAATTATGAAAAACAATTACAAGGAATTCAGATTCAGGAGGCTGAAACAAGAGACCAGGTGAGTTTCTTTTGGGGTGTGCAAAACTGGTCAGCTGTTGATTTCATTGGAGGTGCTGAATTAATTGCCTTTCAGCCTTCCCAATTTGCTTTATGAAGTTTATCCATCTTGTGAAGTCTGAAATAATCTGTTGCATGTGATGTCAGTTACATTTCCAGTGGAAGGACATGACAGAATTTTTGCTTTTGTGTGTCTTTGCATGGCTAGCTTGCCCAGTACCACACTGGTCAGCTCAGCTGTTCCTTCTGCTCAAGGCCTAGACAAGTTATGTCATGAATGCATACACATGGAAAGTGCTTTATGATATGGAGGGTTAGGGAAATAAGGTGTTGACTATTGCTTATTGGATAAAAGCTTAATTGAATATTACATTAACCAGTATTTGGACTCTTTGTTGCTTATTGCCTACGTCTTGTCATAAATTTGTTGAATTAAGGGTAGTTTATAGGGTCACAGAAATTAAGATTTGGTAGATCAGATATGCTGAGATTGACAAGACCTTTCCAAATACAATATAAAAACAAGACTGGGAGCTGGCTGTGGCTCAGATCATGAACTCCTTATTGCTGAATTCAGACTTAAGTTGAAGAAAGTAGGGAAAACCACTAGACCATTCAGGTATGACCTAAATCAAATCCCTACAATTATATAGTGGAAGTGACAAATAGATTCAAGGGATTAGATCTGATAGACAGACTGCCTGAAGAACTATGGATGGAGGTTCGTGACATTGTACAGAAGGCAGTGATCAAGACCATCCCCAAGAAAAACAAATGGAAAAAGGAAAAATGTTTGTCTGAGGAGGCCTTACAAATAGCTGAGAAAAGAGAAGCAAGAGGCAAGGGAGAAAAGGAAAGATATACCCATTTGAATGCAGAGTTCCAAAGAATAGCAAGGAAAGATAAGAAGGCCTTCCTCAGTGATCAGTGCAAAGAAGTAGAGGAAAACAACAGAATGGGAAAGACTAGAGATCTCTTCAAGAAAATTAGAGATACCAAGGGAACATTTCATGCAAAGATGGGCTCAATAAAGGACAGAAATGGTATGGACCTAACAGAAGCTGAAGATATTAAGGAGAGGTGGCAAGAATACACAGAAGAACTGTACAAAAAAGATCTTCACAACCCAGATAATCACAATGGTGTGATCACTGACCTGGAGCCATACATTTTGGAATGTGGGGTCAAGTGGGCCTTAAGAAGCATCACTATGAACAAAGCTAGTGGAGGTGATGGAATTCTGGTTGAGCGACTTCAAATCCTAAAAGATGATGCTATGAAAGTGCTGCACTCAGTATGCCAGGAAATCTGGAAAACTCAGCAGTGGCCACAGGACTGGAAAAGGTCACTTTTCATTCCAGTCCAAAGAAGGGCAGTGCCAAAGAATGTTCAAACTACCACACAATTGCACTCATCTCACGCCAGCAAAGTAATGCTCAAAATCTCCAAGCCAGGCTTCAACAGTACATGAACCGTGAAATTACAGATGTTCAAGTTGGATTTAGGAAAGGCAGAGGAACCAGAGATCAGATTGCCAACATTCGTTGGGTTATCGAAAAAGCAAGAGAGTTCCAGAAAAACATCTGCTTTATTAACTAAGCTAAAGCCTTTGACTGTGTAGATCACAATAAACTGTGGAGAGTTCTTAAAGAGATGGGAATACCAGACCACCTGACCTGTCTCCTGAGAAATCTGTGTGCAGGTCAAGAAGCAACAGTTAGAACTGGACATAGAACTACAAATTGGTTCCAAATTGGGAAAGGAGTACGTCAAGGCTGTATATTGTCACCCTGCTTATTTAACTTACATGTAGAGTACATCATGCGAAATGTTGGGCTGTATGAAGCACAAGCTGGAATCAAGATTGCCAGGAGAAATATCAATAACCTCATATATGCAGATGACACCACCCTCATGGCAGAAAGCGAAGAAGAACGAAAGGGCCTCTTGATAGTGATAGAGGGGAGTGAAAAAGTTGGCTTAAAACTCAGCATTCAGAAAACTAAGATCATGGCATCCGGTCCCATCACTTCATGGCAAATAGAGGGGGAAACAGTGGAAACAGTGACAGACTTTATTTTTTTGGGCTCCAAAATCACTGCAGATGGTGACTGCAGCCATGAAATTAAAAGATACTTGCTCCTTGGAAGGAAAGCTATGACCAACCTAGACAGCATATTAAAAACCAGAGACATTACTTTACCAACAAAGGTCCATCTAGTCAAAACAGTGATTTCCAGTGGTCATGTATGGATGTGAGAGTTGGACTATAAAGAAAGCTGAGCTCCGAAGAATTGATGCTTTTGAACTGTGATGTTAGAGAAGACTCTTAAGGGCCCCTTGGACTGCAAGTAGATCTGAGCAGTCCATCCTAAAGGAAATCAGTCCTGAATATTCATTGAAAGGACCGATGCTGAAGCTGAAACTTCAGTATTTTGGCCACTTGATGCGAAGAACCAACTCATTGGAAAAGACCCTGATGCTGGGAAAGATTGAAGGCGGGAGGAGAAGGGGACAACAGAGGATGAGATGTCTGGATGGCATCACTGACTTGATGGACATGAGTTTAAGTAGGCTCTGGGAGTTGATGATGGACAGGGAAGCCTGGCGTGCAGCAGTCCATGGGGTTGCAAAGAGTCAGACACAACTGAGCAACTGAACTGAACTTTCCAAGTACAGTGCCTAATAGTGGGTTCCTTGATAACATTTAGGAAATAATATAGAATTTCATGAGAGTAGACTTGTGAAAGTATATATAAGGAAAAAATAACTTTTTTTCTTATATTTCCAGATTGTTCTTTGGTTATTATGGAAGTGCTACCCTAGTCTTTAAGCTTAAGCTGATTAGAATGATGGCTTAATATTTTCAGATGCCTTTGGCATTTATTTCCTCCATGTGTGTGTGTGTGTGTGTGTTTTATGATGTCTCAAAAGTAAATTTCTAAAGCTGTTTGTGAAGCTAATACAGCAATAGATGACCTCTGGTAGTTTGGTACAGGAATGGGTCATCTTGGGTTCCATAGTCATGTCAGACATTTTGCTTTTGCTTCAACTGTGCAGGCACTTTGCTGGGTTCTGAGTGTTCAGACACAGACAGAACACAGTACTGCCCATGGGGAGTTTTCAGTGTTTCAACCCAAGCCATCCGTTCAGTGTGGTTTGTTCTTGTACAGATAGAACTAGGTGAGGAGCAGAGACATCTGACTTAACTCTGGGCTTTTAACTAGGGAAGGTTAGGGTTAGGGTGCAGCGAAGTTTGTTTTAGAGCTAGTGGGGAAAGGGTGTTCAAGAAGAGGAAAGATGTACGAAGGAACAGTCATGAAAGAAAATTGTGCGTTCCAGGGAGTATGAATAGTTCATGTGGCTAGGCATAGGGCGTGTGAGGGTCAGGGGAGAGAGAAGAGAAAGAGTGGGGAAAATGGTGGGAAAGGAAGCTCGGAAGGAAAGGCCATGATAAGATCACTGAGGGGAGTAGTGTTGTGATGACTGAAGGGGTTTACATTTTACCCTGAAGACTTTGGGAGGCATTTAAGGATTTTAAGTAGGGACATAATGTGATTTGACTTTGATTTTAGAAATATTTATTGTGTTAGTGTGGATTGTAGACTGGAGGATGAAGATAGATTAGAGTCAGGGAGGCCAGGGCCCTAGCCTAGAAGACGTAGGAGAGGAAAAGCGTCTATTTTCAAATGGGTATGAAAAACGTTTTGTTAACTGTAAAGCACAATATCGTTGTTGAACAAGGTAATTCATCTCAGTTTTTTCTCAAATTGACAAATACGATTCTCAGGAAGAAAAGATTATATGTAAAATTTTCTGGAGCTAGGGATTTAAAAATATTCTATGAGAATTCTGTTACTTCCTTCTAACTGACATTTAAAATTGCATAGGTGAAAAAACTACAGGTGATGCTAAGGCAAGCAAATGATCAGTTAGAGAAGACAATGAAAGATAAACAGGAATTGGAAGACTTCATAAAGCAGAGCACTGAAGATTCAAGTCACCAGGTAAATGAGGGTTTTAGAATGTGACCCGTGGGAGATGACTGAGTTGTTTAAATAAGAGAGTTCTGAAAACAAAGTAATGTTTTTTTCTTGCCCTGAAGATCTGACAGTTCTGTTATTTTCCTTCAGTTAAAAATAATCTCAAACTGATCTTTCTCTGGTGTCTGTTTTATAGATTTAAGGAAAATAACTTTTGAAGTAACTGATTAGTGAATAATCAGGAGAGCCTGGTTCCTTTTTCCCCTTTGATTTTTATTAGGTTTTTCTGCTGCACAAGAAACCTGCTGACAAGAAAGATACTAGTTATCTTCTTGACTTTTTGAAAAAGTGTAGCATGCATAGAAAAACCCCCAACCTTATATACAGACATACCAAACATAACCTGAACTAATATCTGTATAACCACCAACACTGACTGATTAGCTAGAAAATTAGCCAAGAAAATTAGCTAGTACGTCAGAAACCCTCACTTCCCCCCTCCACGTACTATTTTCTTCCCAGAAGTAAGTATAGCCCTAACTTTTTTTTTTTTTTTAGCCCTAACTTTTAACACCATTAGATCAGTTTTGTCTGCTTTTTTATTTTACAAAGTGAATTATATAGTTTGTATTCTTTTGTGTCTGTCTTTCTCCATTCAACATTGTGACGTTCCTGGTTACAAATGTGGGGCAGTTGTTATTTTCATTGTTGTTGTAGTTGTACAGTTCATTATATGGCTGTATTATAATTTATCCATCTTAATGTTGATGAGCCTTTGGGTTGTATCCAGGTCTGGGATATTATGAATAATTCTACTTTGAAATTTTTGTGTAGGACTTTATGCACATGTTGCTGCTGGGTATATGCCTAGGAGCGGAATGCCTGGGTCAAAATGTTCAAAATGTATGTCAACTTTTGGAGATAATAGTGCCAGAAAGTGGTTGTATGAGTTTATACTCTCTCCAGCAAAATATGAGAAGAATTCCTGTGGGTCCAGTCTTGGCAGGCTTTGTTTTAATTATAGCTGTTTTGGTGGGTGTGTAATGATATTTCATTGTGGCTTAGTTTGCGTTGAGGTTATTTAGCATTTTACGTGTCTATTAGCCATTGGGGTATTGTTGTGTGTGTGTGTGTATGTGTGAAATTACTTCTTAAGTCTTATTTTTTTAAATTGGGTTGTCTTTCTCTCTTTCTCTTTTTTCGCTTGTTTTTCTCTTAAGTTCAGTCGCTTAGTCGTGTCTGACTCTTTGCAACCCCATGAATCACAGCACGCCAGGCCTCCCTGGAGGATCTCTTAGGGGTCCTTTACATACATAATCTTGTTAGAACGTTTGGTGATATGTCCCAAATGTCTTCTACCTAGTACCTTATGTTTTTGTTATTTTAATGATGTCTTTTGAAGAAGTTATTAATTATAATTTAGTTAAATTTATTGATCCTTCTCTTTATGATTTAGTGATTTTTATCGTGATCCTGGGGTTATGAAGATATTTTCATGTATTTTGTAGAAGCTTCAGCGTTTATAGCTACCCACATTAATATCCAAAATCCATCTAGGACTGACTTTTATGTATAAGCTATAGATAAGGGTAAATTTTTATACATTTTTTTTCATTTGGATAGTCCATTCCTGTACCATTTAGTGAAAAGAGTACCTTTTTATCATTGCTCTGCAAGATCATCTTTGTAAACTATCAAGTGAACATACATGTGTGGGTCAGTTTCAGGACTCTGTTTTAATTGATTAGTCTGTTCACCTGTTTTTGTGCCAGATTCTGTGATAGTCATTTTTTCTTTTTTTCTTTAGTTTTTATTTCTCTACTGAGAACTATGTTTTATTCATTTCAAGAGTATTTACGTTTACTCTAGGCAGCAGAGTTACAATAGCTACTTCAAAATCTTTGATAATTCCATTCTAGGTCATCATGGGGTTGGCATATGTTGATTTTCTTTCCTCTTGAGAATTGGCCACATTTTCCTGATTCTTTCTATGTCAAGTACTTTTAGATTGATCTTGGAGATTATGAATATTTTTTTGTGAGACTGAGTTTTGTTACCCAGATTAGGTTCAGTTCATAAGTTCTGTCTTGCCTAGTGTAGTAGGTAGTTCTAATGTCAGTTCATTTTTGAAAGCCTTTGACATGCTCCTCTGGCTGTGTCCCTGTGTGTATATAGCTCAGGGGTGAGTGTGAGACTTGGGCTGGTTCACGCACAGAATTAGGACATCCTTTTCTAGCTTTCTCTCTCAATACCACTCTACGCTTCAGCCCACAGGGACCCTGTCCTGGCCCTGTGATCAGAAAGACAGTTGTTCATCCTGTTCTGCTTGCTGCATCTCTTGTTGCAGCATCTCCAATCTTTACAATTGGAGCCACTCTCAGATTCATGCTGGCAAGAAAATAGGAAAAAACCCCAAATAAGCAGTAAACTGCTGTATGAATTGTTTCTTCTCATTTTGATTTCCCTCCCTAAACTGTCTGCTTTTGCTTAGTTTTTAGAGTCCTCAGGTAGTTGCTTTTTGTATTTTACGCAGAAGTTTTTAGGTGTAATTGGGGGAGAGAATGGAGTTGGTGGGCTTAGTCCCTCTTGGACAGTGCCAGAACTCTCTGTTCTCTCACATTTTTGTTTATTAGACATATCTTTCTCTTTCACCTTCATTCAGGAAGGATACTCTGGCCAGGTGTAGAATTCTGAGTACTTACGTTGTTTTCTTTCAGCACTTTGAAGTTGTTATTCCATTGCTTCTGGCTTCCATGTTTCTGATGAGAAGTCAGCTATCAGTCTTATTGTTGCTCCTTTGAAGGTAAAATGTCATTTTTTCACTAGCTCTTTTTAAAAATGTTCTTTGGTTTTTTGTTATTAGCAATTGTACTCTACTATATACCTCTGTATTTTTCTTCATATTTCTGCTGTTTGGAGTTCACAGAGTATCTTGGATCTCTGAACCAGTGTCTTACATCATAATTTGAATATTCTCAGCCATATGTCTCTTTAAAAATTTGTTTTTATTGATACAGTAAAGTGCATAAATCTCAAGTGTACAAGTTGGTGAGCTTTATTTTGTGTAAAATTTTACCAGGTAATAAATTATCATCTACATCAAGATACAGACCATTTTTAATACCTTTATGTTCTTTACTAATAAGTAAATACCCCACCTGCTGTACTTAGAGGTAGCCAGTATTCTAGCTTCTAACACTATGTTTTTAGTATTGCTTGTTCTTGGACTTCATGTGAATGGAATCATATGGTATGTAGCCTTTAGCATCCAGTCTGTTTGGTCATTATGTCTGTGAGACTTATCCATACTGTTCTGTGTATCAGTGGTTAGGTTTTTAAATGCTATGTATATTCTATAACATGATTATAGCATAATTCATTTATCCATTCTGCAGTTGAGAGATATTTGGATTGTTTCTTGTTTTTGACTATTGTGAGTGAACACACTTTCTAACATTCTTGTACATGTCTTTTAGTGGACATGTGGACTTATTTCTCTTGAGTATATGTAGGTGTGAAATTATGGAGTTTTTGCATAGGTTAATTTTAACTCTACCAGTTATTTCCATTTACTGTTACTATCTTCAAATATTTTTATATGTTAGACATTAGCATTGCATCTACATGGCTTCTTTAATCTTCTTTATTTCCCATCTTTTTGTCTTTGTTATTGTAGGATCACTGATTTTCTCTTCCAGTAGGTCTAATCTGTTAAACTTATTCATTGAATTTTTAATAATTTGGATAATTGATTTTTTTAGTTTATTATTTCCATTTGGTTGTTTTTATTGTTTCCATTAAATCTCTGGTGGGGCTAAATTTCTAAACAGATCAAATACAGCTATTTTAAAGTCTGTTTTTAATAACATGTGGATTCATTGTAGATCTATTTCTGTTTTGTTTTCTATCACTTCCTTTTGTTTTTTTTATCATAGTCTTTTCTTGTGCATTCTTACTTGAGTGCTAGACATTATATATGAAAATTGTTGAAATAATTTTTCTTAGAGGCAGACAACTAGTTGTGGGTCACCAATAATCCAGTCATGGATCACCTTAATTTGTTTACAGGAATTGAGATTATATGCAGTTGTGAAGGTTGGATTATTTTAAATTCTTTCCTTATACTCTTGGGTGTGTCCCTTTGGGGACCCAATCCAAAGTGCAGGGTGTTACCAGGGATTCCTCTGGGTAGTGGGTCTTGGACTCTTTAACTTTTGCCCCTCTTCCTGAGGCTCTGAGATGCTCTGCTCCATTTCTCAGTGTCACATCTGTTTCTTTTGGAATTGGCACGTGCTTTTGGAGAAGAGTTGTTGCAGAGACTGCATCTGGTTCTCCAAGTGTCCTCATTCTGGTCCTTGGCTCTGTGATTATTTTTTGCCTTATTTTTGTCTGGTTTTCTTAATTCTCAGGAGAATTGTTGGTTTGCACTACCTATTTTGCCACTACTGGAGACAGAATTCTGAAAATAATCATTTTTTAAATGTCTAACCAAATTTATTTTTATTTTACCACTCTTATATACAAGTCATCAATTTGTACATAAACCCCTCATCGGGAATGTTAAACTAATTCAGGGGAGTTTCTCATGTATCTGTTCTCTTAAGTACATCATCTTGGAAGACTGCAGCTAGTTCAGAGGAGATTTGTTTATCCTTTAAACTGTGTGGGTTTTTGTCTGTGTGGACAGTTTCAAAATTTTTTTGATTTTTAATTAGCTCTTTTAAGAATAATATTTATAATTGGATCGCATGGATTAATATCTGTGTCTGGAGACCGTATAATGCATTGTTCATGTACGGCAGTGGCTGACCCCTGGGGACTTTGGTACTGCCTTGTTTCATCTGAAAGGCTGAGACTTTTGTACACAGTAGGTTCATACATATTTGTTGAATGATGGATGAGTGGTGTTTTATGAACTACTAAGTCAATCAATCCTGGACATTAAGCAGGAGATGGTAGAGTTAGTTTCAGAATAGCCAGATTCCTAATAGCCATATTTTCTGTGTATGATTTTTTTTTTTCTTTCAAGATCTCTGCACTTGTCCTAAGAGCCCAAGCATCGGAAATCTTACTTGAAGAGTTACAGCAGGGGTTTTCCCAGGCAAAGAGGGATGTTCAGGAACAGATGGTGAGTTAACAGTTAAATAAACATTAACTATGGTAAATATTTTGAGTAAACTCTAAGAGATCATGAAGGACAGAGGAGCCTAGCATGCTGCAGTCCATGGGGTCTCAGAGTAGGACATGACTTAGTGACTTAACAACAACATATTAAATGCATTCTGTCTTGAAATAATCTTTGATGTGACTTTATCTTCCTGGCCAAAGTGGTTCCTGTTATGTTCTTCAGAGCCTACAGAACATTAGTAATGAACAAGATTATGTAAAGAGATTATTCTTTTTTTAAACTTACCTCTTGATTTAAAAAAATGATCACCTTTAACTTACTTTTCTTTCTTGTGAGAAATCTAAACAAAATAAACTATGGACCAGCATTTAATTTTCAGTTATAAATACAAGCTAAAAGTTAACCTCTCAAAGACCTAGGAGGTACAGCTTTTGAGCAGCTATTGCAATTTTCCTGGACAGCTGACTTATTTAAAAAAAAAAAAGCCTCAGTAATTTCATAGAAGTTATGATATGATAAAAGTGCATCATAATTGCTACAGTAATGGAGAACTTCCAGAAGGCTGACAATTTTGAGAGGAATAGAAACAGATAGCTTCCCAAAGAAGAGCTGCCTGGAACCTCTGCAGAATCTTCTCCAGCTTTGGGCCTCCTCCTCCCCAGGCAGGCTCCATTTGCCTTGTTCTTCCTTTTTCTCAGAGTTGGAGCCCTGCATCTGATGGCCCTTGTAAATTACAGCAGTGTTGGTCCTGCTGGAGAGATCCTGCAGAGTTGCCTCTTGTCCATCTCTTCCAGGGATGACAGGAAAACACACAAACCCTAGGTTGTATGGTAATTGTTTTTGAGGGGCACTGGGTCAGTATATGAATGGCCTTGAGCTGACCCCTGAATACCAGCCCTGGTCTGTTGTGGAACATCTCATTCTCAACACTGACTGGAGAGAGTTTCATGTCGTTTCATTAATTAGAGACTATGAAATAATAATCTGACCTCAAAAACAGTTAAATGCTGGCAAAGTTTCATTATTCAGTTTCTTCTCTTCAGAGAAGAGTAGCTGTGGTAATGGTTGGAATTTTGATATCTCCCACTGTTTGTTTTGAAAATTTTCAAACTTAGAGATGTTTATGGACTGAACACTCATAAGATCTTCACTTAGGTTTACCAGTTAATATTTTGCCACGTTTTATTGCTTCCAGTTGTTACTCAGTCTCTTTCATATATATGGATGTTATGTAATGTACATGTGTATTTTTTTTTTCCTGAGCCATTTGAAAGTAAGTTGTAGACATCATGACACTCCTAAATATTTCAGTTTGTATATTTCCAAAGAACAAAGAAATTGTTCTAGTAATCACAATACTGTTATTATGTGCTTAAAATGTAACCACTGTCCCCCAAAGCCCTTGATTGTTTTAGTGCTGGTTTTACTTTTTGATCAAGGAACCAGTCAAAGATCACATACTGCTACTTTGTTGTCATGTCACTTTATTCTCTTTTAATCTAGAGTAGTCACCCACTTCTTTTTTTTCCTTTGGCATTTAGGACATTAACATTGTTAATAAGAGTCCAGACCATTTGCCTTGTACAGTGCATTTGTCTGATTATTTCCACATGGTCAGACATTTTGGAAAGAATACTACATGGATGAAATGATTCAGTGGAAAGTTCATAACAAGAGGCATGTTATGATGGGTGGTTCCGTTGTTGGTGATGTTAAGTTCAATCACCTGGTTAAGATGGGGACACAATAGTTTTATAATGACTACATTAATATTGCTACCAACAGCAAACCTATTAAGTGAAGCTCAGCATTTCTTTGTTGGCCCTCCATATCCATTGGGTCCGCATATGTGGATGCAGAGGGCTGGCTGTGAGTTGAGTATCTCAAATTTGGTATGGGAGCGTATCTTGAACCAATACTCTGTGGATACCAAAGAACAACTGTAGTTCTTTTTACCCTGAGAATGCATCCTAGGTGAGGATTTGCAGTCTGGATGCTGTGTTCAGAGATTACTTGAACTGGTTTTTCTCTCTGTGGTTGTGTTGTCACTTTGAACACAAACAGAAGCAAATGGAGCTGTGTATTACATTTTTTATTTTCTTCTTTTTTGATTTACTTTTTTGTTTCTTGAACAAGCAACATGGTTCATAAATCAGAACTATAAGCATATGTGATCACTTAGAAATTTCACTACCATTCCCTCATCCTTTCATTCAGTTCCCACCCACTCCCATACATGATATTTTACAAGTATTCTTGGTTTATCTTTCTGTTTTCCTCGTTACAATAATAAACAAATATAAACATATTCTCTTTTCCCTTCTTTCATATCCAAGAGGTAGTAGAGTGCTAATATTTTGTTGTAAGTGGGTTGAAATTAAGCATAAGGCACCATTCTGGTCTGAAATAAATAAGAGCCGGTAGAATTAACCAAAGCTTTTGCATGACCTTGCCTTCCTACCAGCAGCATATTTGTCCTTCGGGATGCAGTGGTCACCTTCTATGGGAAATCTTGAACCCTCTCTGCTAATTAGATGCCCTTTGTCCTTTTATCACTGCGGTACCCTTGTCTGTTACAGCACCTGCAGTATGGTTGGTGATTCTGGGTTTACTTGTCTTTCCCTCCACTGCTCCATGAGCTTCTCTAGGGCAGTCTGTTGGTTATCCCTGTTTCCCGTAGGCAGTAAAATGCTTGGTTAGAATAGTAGTTGTTAAACAAATGTTGAAGGTGGAGTAATCTTGTTGAGTGTATGTTTAAGTTCAATGGTTAGTACTAAAAATTATCAGAAATATTTTTACAGAATTGTATCTGCAGTTTTATCTGCAATTGTATGTTATACTCAAATTAGCTGACTAACTTTTATATTGATATAAATTCACAGGAAATACCTAAAATTGTTTTATACATCAGCCAGCAGAAAAAGTAAGAACGTGCTCCATTTTAAGAATGAACTCCTCAAATGCCCTGTATTTCCTAATATTTGGGGTCCTTGGGCCACTCACAGTGGTCCTGAGCTTGAACACATATGTGTGTAATGAAGTCACTGCTTTCTGTTTCTCCCTACTTCGTGTGGGATGCGTGCTCTGAGGAAATAGGAGCTGTCTTGGAATACGCACTGTGTTTGATACAAGTCTCAATTATGTAAATCTCTTCCATTGAGCTAGAGATGCTGGTCCTAGGGATGTAGGGGAAGAAATTCATTACCTTCAAGCTTTTGGTGGAAACAGCAGAGAATGAGCTCAGGTACTTGCTTCATTTCCTGTCCCCTTGAGTATACGTAATGGCTGTAGGTCAGTAAATCTCTGATCTGCTTTCTGTGAGTCTTACAGAGCTTTGTCATGTACCCTCCATCCTCAGCCCTTATTTCGTTTGACCTTTGTTTTTCACTGGTGCGGTTATCAGCAGACAGGATTTACCTTTCTGGCTGTGATTAGTGTCTGTTTCTATTTTAGGCAGTGCTGATGCAGTCACGGGAACAGGTTTCAGAAGAACTGGTGAGGCTACAGAAAGATAATGACAGTCTTCAGGGAAAGCATAGCTTGCATGTGTCATTACAACAAGCGGAAGACTTCATTCTCCCAGACACTATGGAGGTAACTTTTTACTGAGATATAATTCACTTACCAAATAACTTACCCATTTAAAGTGTACAATTCAATGTTTTAAAATATATTCTCAGATGTGTAGCCATCACCACAGTCATTTTTAGTACATTTTCATAACCTCAAAGAGAATCCCCTTACCTTTTACTCAACCCTTCCTCCCCAAGCCTTAAGCCACAACTAATCCACTTTCTGTCTATAGATTGTCCTTTCTTTCATATGAATGGAATCCTACAACTTGTGGTCTTTTGTGTCTGGTTTCTTTCATATATCTTTTTGTTTTCAAGGTTCATTCATGTCATATAGCATGTTATCAGTATTTCATTTGTTTTTATGACCGAATAATACTCTGCTATATGGCTATTTTGTTTATCCATTTGTCTACTAATGGATATTTGGGTTGTTTCCACTTTGGACTATGAATATATTGCCATAAACATTCATGTATAGGTTTAGGTGTGGACATATGTTTTCATTTCTCTTGGGTTTAAACCTAGGAGTGGATTTGCTGCATTTCTCCACATTCTCACTGACAATCATTGTTATCTCACTTTGTGATTATCGCCATCCTAGGGTGTGAAATGGTGTCTTATTGTAGTTTTGATTTCCATTTCCCTAAGGTTAATTTGCATTTCCCTAATGGCTATTGAGCATCTTTTCATATGTTTATTGGACATTTTTATATCTTCCTTGGAGACATACCTGTTTTAAGATCCTTTGCTTACTCTTAAATTGGGTTGTTTGCTTTTTATTTTTTTGAGTTATAAGAGTTCTTTATAAATTCTAGATTTAAGTACTTTCTCAGGTAAATAAATGATTTTATTTCTCCCATTTTATGGATTGTCTTTTTCATTTTCTTGATGGTGTCCTTTGAAACATAAAAGTTTTTAATTTTGATAAAGTCAAATTTATCTCTCCTTTTCTTCTGTTGGCTTATGCTTTTAATGCTGTATCTAAGAATCCTTTGCCAAATTGAAGGTCTCTATTATTCTTTCAGGGTAATTGAGAATGCACCAGAAATGAAATATTTGAAAGGGGTCTCCATGCTGGCTCCTTGTGATGTTAGGTTTTCTATATAGCACTTGTGATACAACACACTCCTTCTGTCTTCTGATAACTTTTATAACACTTGGTCACTTCCATTCTTTTGTGGTTGGGTGAATCAGGGCTGCGAAGCCTGAAGTTTCTTGAGACATTTATAACTATCTCAACTTTTTCCAGCCTTTATATTCATGTTTAAAAATCTTTCACTATATGAAAAATATCATCTTGGGCTAAACCCAAGTAAACATAAATTGAATAGGCAAAGATGAGATTTCATAAAGCAACTCTCAGAAAAATATTTCTTGTAAAATCTTTTGGTCTTTTTTTTTTTAAAGAAATTTGTAATTGTTAAATTTTTAAAAGTCAGATATTACAGAGATTTATAGCTTTGTAAGTAACAATGTTTCCTAATCCTGCCCTACAGATTCATCCCCTACTGTTTGGACCTCATTCTGTTTTCCTGTATAGATGTTAACATGACGTTTTTTTGTTCTTATTTACTTACTTACACAGGCTCCGTTGCCTGCCCTCCCTTTTAGCGCCCTGCTGTCTCCCTGCCTTTTCCCTGCCCTCCCCCAGCCTGTGGTCTCAGCTCGGGTTACAGACGCTCTGAAGAGCTCTATCCTTTCTGAGCTGGTGACTGATATCATCAGGGAGAACGTTTTGGGGACCTGTCTACTTTTGCTGTCAGTATACCACTTTCCTTGTCAAACTTTTCTCTTGGCAGGAAAGATTCCTCTCTTCCGTGTTCTATAGAGACTTTTAATACCTAGATTTTTAAGAAATTCCCAGAATCCTTGAAGGTTATAACCAGTCTAGCTTGTAAAGCTTGATTCTTTAATAAATCTTAATGAAATTTTTCTTGATACAGATTTTCAATTACTTTTTTCCCCCTGCTGTTCTTTAATTTTATATACATTTGGTAGTTATCTAAGAATCCCAGTTTTTACTGTAAGGTTGCTTTAGAATATAATTTTGGGAGGGTTTTTAGAAGAAGACAGCTACAATTTAGGGAAAAAGTGAAATAAGACTTAAACTGAATTTATTACAGAAAAACAGCTGATCACCTTAGAAAGCCTCTCATTGCATATTTGCCTCAGACCTGACAGTACTTTGCCTTTGTGGTAGATGTTCAACAAGTGTTTATTTGAATGAATAAATAAATAAATAAATAAGTATATTTTGTCATCTTGCTTTTGAGTTTCAGTCTTTTTGGACCTCATTCACTAACTCCTCTCAAATTTAAGCAGGTAATAGTGGAATTGTCCAAGCTATTCATAGTGAACCCCACATTGTAAGTCATCCAACATTTAAATTTTTACATTTATGAAACAGTTTTGAGGGAAAAATATATAGTTCACAATATACAGTTTTTGGTTGGCAATGTTATCTTATTTCTGTAACATACTGAATATTAACATGGCATGACACCTGCCTCTTGAAGCCAAGAATGGGTTGGGTTCAAAGTCCTGAGTTTTGAACTATCTAAAATAATATCTGAAGTTCTGGTTGCAGAAAATCTTTAGCTTTTTTTGTTTATTTTCTTTCACCCTTAAAAACCCAATAACTATTTGTTTCTTGGATCCAGGCACTCCGGGAGTTGGTATTAAAATACCGTGAGAATATCATTAATGTGCGGACAGCAGCAGATCACATGGAAGAAAAGCTGAAGGCTGAAATACTTTTCCTGAAAGAGCAGATTCAAGCAGAACAGTGTTTAAAAGAAAACCTTGAAGAAACTCTGCAGCTAGAAATAGAAAACTGCAAAGAAGAAATAGGTGAAGATAAAAGTGATGTAGTTTAGAATTGGAGGCACTAAATAAAACTTCTTTCTGGTTATAAGAAGTAGTAACAGTCTTGGAATGTAGAAAACAAAAAGTATAGGAAGGAACTAAGTAAGGCCTCAGTCCCTTTCCCCACGTGTTCTGATAATAGCCCCTGATAAGGAGTTTAAAAAAACCCAAACATCTTTTTAGGAGCTCTGGTGGCCTCTGTGGCAGTTACTAAATAGACAGGGAACTCAGGACTTGAACCCAGACACTGGAGCCTGTGAGAAAAAATGGGTGGCAGTTCCTCCAGAACTTAGAATTGTTAACAGACTTCTGCCAGGGTTACCCTGGCCCCACCCCACCACATAGTGAAGTGTCGGTATTTGAGGCAGAGATAGTTTATGCCATGGTGTTCATTTGTGTGCGCTCTGACTTTGACATGAGCTTGAATGTTATGCTGATTGGTTGGGGATAATTGTGAGAAGGGATGTTGGTCCCCCACCACCACCCTACCCACTGTGTTCAATACATTTGACTCCTTTCGTTCTGAGATTGAGCTATGGTACAAAAGGGCATTTTAAGATTTAAATGCAAAATCATCAATAAATGCTGACATGTCTCCTTTTTTCCTCCTAGCTTCCATCTCTAGCCTAAAAGCTGAATTAGAAAGAATAAAAGTAGAAAAAGGACAGGTGAGTTTCATGAGTTTGAAATTGATTCTGTCAGCAGCTAGTAGGTATTTATTGAATCCTACTGTGCTAGACTCAAGGAATAAAGTAGTTAGAACATAGTCCCTGCCTTCAAGGAACTCCCGGGAAAAGTATAGTGGAATAGGATGGAATATAGTGGCTGATGACGGTAGAGACCATCTGGTGAGAGCCTGCTCTGTGTTGGCAGGAGGAGATACAGGGAAGACTGAGATGTGACAGTCTGGAGCTTCCACTGTGGTGGGAAGACAGGCAAGGCATGGTCTTTTCTTTAAAGGATATTTATTTGGCTGGTTTAAGTGACTGCGCTGGGTCTTAGTTGTGGCATGTGAGATCTAATTCCCTGAACAGGGATCAATCCTTGGCCCCCTGTATTGGGAGCATGGAGTCTTAGCTACTGGACCACCCAAGGCATGGTCTTAACATGATACGTACTTAAAGCTACCATGGAAATACGTATGAAGTCTGTTACAAATAGGAGGTGATGTTTTCCACTTGCTTAGTCTCCGTCTCTTAAGACATCATGAACACCTTCTGGTAAATGACCCATTCAGCTCACTGGCCTCATAATTTCTTGAATCAGTGAACTTTACTCCACCCAGCCCTTCCTTGCCACACTCCTGCTTGCACCTTGCCCCACTTCTGACGTCACACTCCAGGCTCATATCTCTTGACCTCAGTCTATCATCTTTCTAGCCCTTTATCCTATAGGTTTATCTGTCTGAGAACGTCAATCAGACCTTCAGTTCCTTCAACTTTTCCTTTTCTGGTTTTAGCAGCTTCCTCATGACTTTGCTTTCTTTGCTTCTAAGCGGCATCTGACAGGGCTTGTCTGTTTAGCTCGTCTCCCCCCAGTGCCTGCAAGCCCTCTCGTCCTTGTCCTTCTGCTGACCTTGTTGATATGCCCAACCCCAGACTAATCCTGGTGTCCACCTTCTCTGCCTCTTGGACCACTGGAAGGAGTAACATGCCTGCTCCTGCTGCCACATGCTGCTCATGCTTTTCATCTGTTCTTAGTTGTTCCCTTCCATTCCCTGCAGTGGTTGTTCAGTCACCACTCACCTCACCTCTTGATGGCCTTGTACCCCTATCATAAGCAGGACCATCTTCAGCTCTTGCCTCTGCAGTAATGTGTTTGCTTTTTTCCTCCCAGCCTTCTCTTTCTTGCATCTTAAGAAAGGATGATGACCTGATTCTGACCAGTCTTCTGTCACTGCACATGTGTTTTGACTGAACCACTCACGTCTTTTCCTGGCATCTTTGCTGTCTTCCTCTTTCACTGTGGGCCTTGAACTTCTACGTGTTGATTGGTTTTTTCCATTTTGCATAACCACACTCAGAGGTCTCCTAGTAAAGAGGGGAGAAGTTTCTCTTTGAATTGCACTTCTTTCTCCAGCTACTGATCTTTCTTCTTCCTTTTATGCCCAGAGTTCTTGAGTCATCTCCACTACCTGAGCTCCCAGTCATTCCTCCGCCCACTGCCGTCTGGCTTCGGCCCCCCTGTGCTATCAAGGTTGTGCTGGCAGGAGTAGCCAGTGTCCCAATGTGTCTGTCTCTCCCACTCCCATTGTTTGGGTTGACTTCAGTGCTCACCTGACTCATTGTAACAGTGTAACTTCTTTCCCTGACTCCAAAATGTATCCCTTTCCAATTCATTTTTGTATTGAAACCAAGGTGATCTTTAAAGATTATAAACTTGACTGTGAGCCAGTCTAGTTTAAAACCCTTCAGCAGTTCCTGTAGCCCGGCTGGGCTCCCCTGCCTCTCGGGCCTCAGCCTCCAGGGCCGGCACCCTGTGCTGTGAGGTAGCAAGAACTCAGCTCAGTTCCTTAACTCATTATTTACGTATGTCCACTCCCTCCTTTTGGAGTCTCTCTCTCCATGTTCTCCCCTTTACAACCCCTTTAAGGGTCAGATGTCATCTCTTCAAGGAAGCCCTTGCCAACTTTTCTGGTAGAATTAAGTGCTTCTTCATCCATTTTCATATGCCACAGTTAACTTACATGTCTGTCTCTCCTGCAGCACGTAGGAGGTACCTAATAAATGTTTAATAAAAAGAAACAATAGGTCTTGAAGAATAAATTGAAAATCCACAGATACCAGAGGGTAAGGAGAGGATTCCAAGCATAGCCAGTGTCCAAGGCCCTGGAAGATGAGCATTTGGATGCAGTTCTTCAGGCTGCAGGCTCCTCTGGCAGGTGTGCTGTCACCTGCAGGGGGTTTCTGTGTTTTAGCTTTTTCCTTCTTAATTTTACAGTTGGAGTCCACATTAAGAGAGAAGTCTCAACAGCTTGAGAGTCTTCAGGAGATGAAAATGACGTTGGAAGAACAGCTGAAGAAAGAAACTGCTGCTAAGGTGAAACGTTTTTGTTGGTAGTTTCATTTAAACAAAACAGGGACTTTCCTGGTGGTTCAGTGGCTAATAATACTGCACTCCCAATGCAAGGGGTCCAGGTTTGATCTCTGGTCAGGGGACTAAATCTGACCTGCCGCAGCTTTGTTTGCATGCCACAACTAAGACCTGGCCCAGCCTAATAAATAAATAATATTAAAAAACCCCACAACAATCTAAAGGATGTAGGATCACATCTTCCCTGTTTAAAAAAAAAGCCCTGCTCCTTTGATAGAGCCCCCTTCTGAAAGCTGGCAACTCTCTGCTTCAGGGAGAAAATGGATTTCTCTCTTCAGAGCTGGGTTAGGTCTCCGCACACTGCCAGCTTTGCGGGTCTGTCACAGGCCCTGCTGGCTGAAGGCCATGAACCAGACTTGGCACCATTGAAGCCAGAGACACTGCTCTGGAAGTGCCATTCCATTCGATTGATTTTATCCAATAGTGCATTGAATTGTATTTGCTGCCCACAATTCTGATTAGTCCTGTTAGAATAAAAGTGCATGGGGCTAATTGTGGGGGAAGTTTGCTTTCAGGGGGGCTGTGGTCTGATCTTTTAAGTGTAAAAGTGTTGTGTTTGTGTTTTTTGATAGTCCTTTGTTTTTAGAAAGGCTCATATGCACAGGTCCTAGTGGAGTCTCTGTCAGGAAGATTGGAGATAGCCGGGCTGCCGAAGGCTGACTCAGAGAGGATTTTCCTGGCAGATGCTTAACTGTCGTGATTGTCAGAGAAAAGCCCTAAAGTTTCTCTCCCTGTTGCTATGATAGCTGTTGATCTTAACAGCAGCTGCTTTTTGATGATTAATCATTATCAGTGGGCTGCTGGGGGTGAGAGGTGGGGCCTGCAATTTCATTTAATTTGGCTCTAATACTCAATTCACTTTAGGATCTAGAGCAGGTAGCTTAAGCAGCTTGCACCCTTGCCTTGTGAAGACTGAAATAAAAAGAGATGAACAGGATACGGAAATGTGACAGGCACCATCTTTCCTATCTCACAGCAGGAAACAAGTGCTGCCCAGGTTTCCTGAGTGACTGACCTGTGGTTTTCCAGCATTAATCCTCATTCAAAACTTGTATTTTTTAGGTTACTGTCGAACAACTGATGTTTGAAGAGAAGAACAAAGCTCAGAGGTTGCAGACTGAACTAGATGTCAGTGAACAAGTGCAGAGAGATTTTGTAAAGCTTTCTCAGACCCTTCAGGTGAGGCATTTGGGAAACCTAGATGGAACACCAAGGAGGCACTTTCGGGGTTCTTGGCTTCCAGGAGAATTTTCTAATCCCTGACTCAACCTCTGACAAAACCTAGAAGACTAGAGACTGCTGCTCCTGCCCCATATTCCTGCCTGGTCATTTCAGCTGGAAACCTGTAGCTCCAGTGTTCCTCACACTTGCCCCCTTTTCTTCCTCCTTGCTGCCCTTAAGGGTGGTGTGTAAAGCCCTTACATGGTATGTAAGACTTTTCTCAACCAGGCCTATCTCTCTACACCTTACATGTTATAGTTATAATTTTTAAAAACTATATGTGGTTCCTTGCACCCAACATGGTGTTCCCTCTGGAAGCATCCTTGTCTCACTGCCCCCTTGTTTCTTCTTCCAAGGCCCTGCTTATTAGCTTTTTCCTCCCCGTGGAACCCTCTTTGAGTCCTCTTTTAGGCATAGTATTTAGTATATTGTGCTGAAATTCTGTAAAGCTTGTTTGTTCCCTCAACTGAACTGTGGCTTCTCAGGGATCAGGTCTCACTCATCTGCACAGTCCCAGCACCTTACACTGGGTCTGTTACACAGCAGCTTTGGGGAAGTATTTTTTAGTTTGTTTTTAATCTTTTTAAAACTTACTAATTGAAGGATAGTTGCTTTACAGTATTGTGTTGGTTTCCTCCAACATCAACATGAATCAGCCATGGGTATACATATGTCCCCTCCCTCTTGAACCTCCCTCCCGGGAATTTTTTTAATTTAATTGTTCTGCTGCTTTCTTCGAAGTGACTTATCTCTGGTTTAGCTGAAACAGAGATTAACTCACCAGTCACAGTAAACCAGAAAGTCAAGCAAGAGCCACCTGCACTTACATCACTGCGTTATTTCTCTAGGTGCAATTAGAGCGGATCCGACAGGCGGACTCCTTGGAGAGAATCCGGGCAATTCTGAATGACACCAAACTGACAGACATTAACCAGCTCCCCGAGACATGACACCCTGATGGCAGGACTCTAGCCTGCACTTTGGGTTTTTAACTCATCTTTAGAGCAACATTAATTATTATTTAACTCTTAACTGAAGAAGAAGTCACACACACAAAAAGGAAGACTGGAGAAATGTTTAATTCTAGTGGGAGGAGACTGTGCAGCACAGGAACAGCAGACAGCCAGGGTAATTTGCAGCAAAAAGACCTTTCAAACGGGAACACTAACCAGACTCCAGATGATTCCAGCGAGTGTGGGATCAGACTTGGTGACGGAGAAAGTGCTGTTTCCTTGCCTGCTTTATCCGACATTTCCCTGCCCTAAAGCACCCTTCTAATAGTGTTTGAAATGACATTTCCTGTTCATAGATATTGGAAGAGAGAATTTTTTTTCCTGTTGTCTAGAGTTAATCAGTAACAGTATTCAGCTAGCAGACAGGTGTAGTATGCGGTATGAATATTTTATATTAAAATATGAAGTTTGAGAGCAGGCCATTGGCTAGTGACTGTATTTCCTAGCTCAGTGTATTTTTTTAAACCATTTTATCTTGCGTTGGAGGACCTTAAATGCTACCGAAACTTGCCTGAGAACCGTAAGACGGTGGCAAACAAAACCAATTCAGTTGGAACTGAATGAATTATGAGAATTTGAAAACTTTGCTGGGGCTATATGTATTGGAAGTTGAGGTTAAAGGAAAAGCACAAGAAACTGTTTGGAAGCACTTTTTCTGCTACCTGGTAAATTTTTTGGACCCACAGGTACCAGGGTCAAGCTGAACCCGCACCGTCTACTCTTAAAAGCTGTTTTAGTTACTGGATCAGTGGAAGAAATATTAATAAAACAAGCTATGTCTGACAACACCTAGTATAAATGTATAAGTCTGCTGCTTATTTTATTTTCAACTTGAATAGTGGATTTGAGTACTATTTGTTTCAAAAGTGTCAGATGCAAAAATGGTGATAACTAGGTTTGGCAGATACCTGTTTTGTATTTTTCTTTTGTATTTTAGACCTGGAGTGTGATGATGCTTATGGTGAAGTTGGGGGAAACCCACCTAGTTCATCAGTTTGGAAATCTGCTTTGTCATTTCTATGAGGTTAAATTCTGTTCCTGTGTGGAGAAGGCATCAGTGGACAGGTTGTCTTTGCCGTAGCCTTATGAAGTGTTGCAGAAAGCACAAGAATGGATGTGTGTTCACTGTTTACCTGCAAGTACTGTTAGCTGGTGGAAGGCTATGCTGTTTTATCAATAATTCATCATACAGGTGGTTCAAAAGTAAAACTCTTGTTTTCAAGTACTTTTTGTGATTGGTGGTGTGTAATGATGAGTTCTTGAAGGAACTATGTAGGAATTAAGTGGAGTAGGTAGATTTTCTGGCTCAAGTAAACCTACAACTTGAATTATCTTTGTTATAAATGAAGTCAAACTAGTCCTAAAGATCTTTATTTCTGTCTTCCATAAGACAAGATATGGCCTACATACCTCATTCCTTGGGCTACTGCTGTAGTCTTACATTCATGATTATGAATTTGAAAGTAAATACTAATTATGGAAATAGTGCTATAGGCTTGCATGAATGAAACACTTTAATTGGTTTAAAGTCCTTTTGTATAAAGGGGTACTTGGTTTCCTTTAAAGGAAACATGTATCCTCACTGAATTACAGGGAATTTTTATTATTTCCAAAAATTATGTAAGTGTAAGATCAGTTCCTTGGATAAACTCCAAGCTCAATTTGTTTTAGATTATTAAAACTGGAACTGTAGTAAATCAAGGAGGATAATTCATAATCTTCCTGAATGAACTATAGCTCCCAGGGAACTGCTAGGCTGAAATTGGGCACCTTGCTCATGTTTTTCTCCAAAAGATGGTTCTGGGCCAATAAAATCATGATTAGGAAAGTGTCAGCAGTCTTTACAGTGGCAGATGCAAATTGTTGGAACCCACTTTTTTGAGAAAAATCTGCTAGAAAAACAGACTAGGTTTTGTTAACAATCTCTTTCTGGTATGAAACACCTCTTTAAACTGGGTTTTCTGTATAAATGGGAAACTGATTTGGAAGGCAGTGTTTAGCCCTCCAAGACAAATGAAATGAAAAGGTTGGGTTTCATAAGTGTTCCTGTGTTTGTATTCAGTCCATGTACACATGTTCCCACGCATGTCTAACCTGATTTTACCCCTTACCTGTAACCTACCTTACCATGTGGCTTTTCATCGGCAGTCACTTAGCCATTTCTAGGCAGGTATAGTATTACCTTTCAGAATTCATATTTGGCAGGTATAAAAATATTACCTAAAGCTAAAGGACAAAATCATATACTGTATACCAAGCTCTCTGTCTCTCCATTTGAGATCCTACACGTGCACCTCACACCCATCAGTGACATGTACCGGGACACAGCACAGCCCAACTCAGCTCTGAAAGGTAATACTGCCTGTCACAGAAGTGAGCCAGCGGTAGCCTTGCAACCGTGGAGCCTGAGTTCCCCTCTGAGCAGATTTCAGGTATAACCATTTGTTAACTGTACTGGAGGTATGTCCTTAAGAAGAAAGTGTTCAAATTAAAAAAGCTGCTGCCTAGTATACTGTGTGGCCTTTTTCTTTGAATCTGAGGGTTCTGTCTCTCTTCAGAGTCACATTTCTGGTGTTGCTATACTTTTAAGATAAAAGCTTTTATTTTTGCTCAAATATGGAGAAAACTCAGTAGGGTTTATGGAGGTCTGGCAGTGTGTAGCTCAAAATCTCAGGCTTTTTTTAAAAATTAAATACAAGCATTTATTCAATTAATTATAAAACAGTATAAAAAGTGATGTACAATCACACCAAAGTTCATCCAGAATGCCTCTTTATAAATTATGAGACTGATATGCTAACAAGGCACCTGCTTCTTTATAAATTAGTGCTACTTGTTCATTTTACAAAGAGATTAAGCCTTCACATGTGTTAACTTCAGATGCGAGTCTGTTCTTGGTGGTTCAGAAGTTAACATGATTTCGGATGTCATTAATTTGCTTCACCATTTCTCTTATGTGCTCACCCCTGTAAAATCATACAGTTTACTCACTTTGGGGGGAATACAATGAATTAATAAGCCATTAATAATTAATATTGAATCTTAAGAATTTAGTAATGTTGAAATATCTTAGAAGTGTTTTGCTAAAATTAATGGCTTAAGGTTTCAGATGGATGGTAATGGTATTCATTGAAGGCTAGCAGCAGCAAATATAGTAGTGCAACTGCTGCAAATATTTTTGAACATATTCACTGGGGAACACCTGGACCACCCAACAGAATTACAAAGACAGACATCCATTTTGACACTCCCTCCATACTCATCTTTTAAGTCCTTATTTATCACTACCATAGACCGCCTGTCTTGGTAATTACTTCACTTGCAAAATGTCAAAGGCTCTTATCTGGGCAAAGAAAGGTTGATTTTGGCATTTTGTAAAGTAAAAACTACCTTGCAGGAACAGCTGATTAGTAGTACTACTTACTCCTCCTTCAGGATGGACTGAATGCATTTTCGCTGGTAGGCGCTGAGAGTAATGGTGGGCTTTTGAGGACTCAGTACCTTTTCCATCTTTCGTTGTTGATAGTCTTTTTTCATAGTAACCTTAAGTATCAAAAAGAACACATAGACACTTTAGCTGTGGTTTGCTACACATTTTCATATTTATTTTAGCTTATTCTTTTTACACTTGACAAAATTATTTTCTGTAGAAGGAACACTTTAAAAAGTACCAACCAAATGTAGTCAACTTTGTATCCATTCCTACCTGTTTGATGGCATTGCCCAAATGTCTAAGTTGATCAGGTATCAGCTGTAATTCTTTCTTCATGTCTCTCTCACTGTCAGAGAGAACTGGGAGCTGAGAGTGAAAACTGTGAAGTACTTTTTTCATCCTGGGCAAGAAGTAAGTAATAAGCAAACGTTGCAGCTTAAGATCTCAGCTCCTTAGGAGGAACACAATCCCAACTAAAGCTTCTAATATAGGAATCTGGTGCTTATGAAGGAGGGCCCTCCAGGGTGGGTTTGGGGAAAGCATCACAGCACTGTATTCTGTAGGACACACCTCACAGGGAGTGCCCAGCACCTAAGAACTTGTAACACTAGTAGTACCTGAGTGGGGAACTGAACGTTACGCAGTTTATACAGCCCACTGACCTGTTCATGATGTCTTCTTGTTTTTCCTTGGCCTCCTCGTATTTGTCAGCTAAGCGCTCAGCCATTTCCCGTAGACTTTTCCTAATGGCATAAAAAGCAAGAGTCCACCATAATGGTGACGCCATTAATGTTGCTCACTATCTTAGGGAGAGCTCCAGCTCCAGTCTAGCTGAACTGTTTGCTTCCTCTCTGGTCGTGGCACTTACCTCTCCTCTCTACAGTAATTGAGATCTTCTAATTGTTTCTTTTTTTGGTCACATAACAATTTGACCCTTCAAGAACAAAGAGAAATTTAATCAGAAGCCGGGTGCCAGCCAGGGACTGACTGGTCTGTGAACAGAGGCCGTCCTACCTCCGCTGAATCTCCTCCTTTGCCAGGTCCTGTTTTAGAATGTACTGTTCTCTGAACACTTGGGTGGCTCTGCTGATGAGCTGAAGACATTCTTCAGGAGGAGGAGCCATATCTTTTTCAGATGATCTTAAAAAAAATTCTATCATTAGTTTCCTTAGTTGAGTAAAACAACTGAAAACAGACTCATGACATTACTGCTTTTTACACTTGCTGTTTATTCTTCTCAAATGCCTCCTGGTATCTGTTCCCTTCCTCTGTTCTCACTAGCTGATTAAAGGTGCCCTGTGTTTCTTCCAACTCCAACATAGTAAAAAGTATATGAAAAGAAACAGCTGAGGACAAAGAGGATGAAGAATAGTTACAAAACAGAGAAGGGAGGCACTTTTCAAAACCAATAGGCCCTGGGACTTCCCTGGTGGTCCAGTGGGGAAGAATCTGCCTGCCAGTATGGGGGACATGGGTTCCCTCATGCCAGAGCGCAACTAAGCCC